GAAACAGAAAAAGAAATATTTTTAAAATATTAATATTTTAAAATTTAAATTTAAATATAAAGTCAGGTAAGCTGGGTTAGAGTAAGGATTGCATTATTCATCCTCGCTTCCGCCGTGACTTTTTAAAGCGGAAAAACTCAAACTCGCCTCCGGTCAACTCATATTTTTTTTCATCAAACTCAAAATAGGAACAAGTCAATTCCCACGAATACTGGATTTAATCGTCATCCCTAATTCTACTTAATATCATAGACATCATTCTAAGATTTATTAAAAAAAACATTGAAAACACTCGTGCAATTAATTTAAGAAATAATACATTTTAAAAAATTATTTAAATAATATCTGTATTAATTTATTTAAATAAGTAGATTTATTTATGGGTTATATATATTTTTTCTCTTTTTATAATTTTTTTTTCTGCTCATTCATTTTATTTTAACTATTTTATTATGAGATTCTTCTTATTAAATTATTAATTTAATTATGTTTTAAAAAGTTATTAATTTATATGAAATCTTAATGAAATAAATATTTATTATTTATATATATAAATATATTAAATTTACATGTTTATATCAAGACAATTATCAATATTTATCATTCTTAATTAATACTTATTTCTTTTTAATCATGTCATTATCAACCCACTTAAATTATGGTTACCAAAAATATTTAGGTAAAATATTTTAACATTAACACTCCTCTTTATTCTAAGAATAAAAATTGTATTATTTAAAATTTGAATGGGACTAATCAAATCAATTAATTTAACAGAGTTGTTGGATTGATGCACTTATGGTGAAAATAAAAATAAAATAAAAAATCATTTTTTTTATAAAAAATATATATTTTTTTCACACGAATCCCCTCAACTTATTTTATTATATTTTTATCAATTTTTCATTCTCTATTTTATTTATATTTATAATTTTTATTAGAATTTATAATTATCGTGATAACAACATTTTCACTACTATATATTTTTTAAAACTATTCTTATTAATAAATTTATTATATTATTATGTTATAAAAAAATTATTTTATTACATCAAATTGTAACCCGTTAAACTTTTCAATAACTCTTGTTTTTACTTAGATAACCATCCCATTTCAAAAACATTGATAAAATGAATTGATTTATCGTAATTTATAATTCAAAATAATTTCCTAGTTATAACAAAAATTATAAAATCATACAATTGATTAATTTCCAAGTTACAATAACATAAGAATTAGAAATAAAAGAAGGAAAAACACTTGGAAAAAGACGAGCTTTTCCATCTCAAGTGTGTCTCTTATGTCTAATTTTTAAAATAGGATTCCAAAGGTTATCTTTTACAAACATTGAGTTTTTACACTGGACCCATGTTTTTAATATTGGACCATGTTTTTAATACTGGACCTGAATATGTAAATAGAGAGTGTAATAAAATAATATTTTTTATAATATAATAAATATAAAATAAATTTATTAACAATAATATTTTGTATAAAAAAATAATAATAAATATTATTATTATAATTATGATAAATTATAAATAAAAAATATAATAGAAAATGAAAGATGAATAATTATTAAAATAAAATAATTATTATTTAAATTTAATATAATTAATATGAAATTAAAAAAAACTAAAATATATTATATTTTTATAAAAAAACTTGATCTTAATTTTATTTTATCAAAATTACTTTATCTAAAAATATAGTTTATTTTACCAGTTATTTTTTCGATTTTATTTTAATTAAATTTAAGTTTGATTATCTATAAATAACATAACCGTTTCTAGTTCAATTTTCTTTTTGACTGGTTCAATTGGTCTATCAATTCTCAAAACAGTGATTAAATCTTTGAAAAACTCAATCACTACCTTCAAAAACTATAACTGAAATTAAATGTTAGGTATACAAGAGATTTAAGGCAAACTTAAAGAAATATTTAGTGAAAACTAAATACACAATAAAGTTTCAAAATATAAAAGATATTTAGTTAATTGCATATAAATTACTTAAAAAAATATGTACATAAATGACAATTAATTGGTGTTGTGGCAAGTTTTCCTTCATGAATAGATACGTTTTGACTTGTGGCTAACGTAGAGGGACATGTAACTTTCTAAGATAACTCTTTCCTTATTTAATTGAAAATAATAATAAAAATTAAAAAATGACATCTTCTAATAATATTTGTTCTTCCCGATTTCATATGTTGAAAAAGCTGATTCCACAGTGTTCTTTTCATCTCGTATCCAATCAAAGATTATGAATAGAGTCTTAACTCTTAAGACACAACAATACATTGTTATCCACAAATCAAAGATAATGGACATTTGTTTCATTTGGATGGTAATGGATTTGAATGTCTTGCGTTTACGTAATGAGCTTTTCTTTGTATTTTTTTTTTCAACGACAAAACATTACATATAACTGCACCACTTTCATGTAATTATTCTCATTTTTCTTATAAAAATTTGTGACCATTCATCTACCCTACTCAATCAAATAAACTGAATTAGAATTTTTTTGCCAAAGAAAATGGTAATTAAAATACATATTGGACTTTTCAAACTTTATAATACAGTCTTAACTTTTGACATTTAAATAAGTTAAAATTAATCTGTGCATAAATTAAAAAATATATTTTAGAAAAATTAAAAGAAATTAATTTATGCAAATTAACTTATAAATATAAATATAATTTTTGTTATAAAAATTGATTTTTTTTCACATTTTCTTTTTATAGATTTCTCCAAACAGCCTTAAATTATCTACGCGAATAGATATAATAAAACGTCAATTTATTATATTACTAGAGAGTAGCATTTTAATCCATTTTATTGTGTTATATGCTATTTGCTACGCGTTTTAATTTCTATTTAATTTCATAGCATTTTTCTATGTTGTATTAATTTCATTATCGGTCTATGTGGGATAAATGTAGGTAAAATTATAAATGAGCACTTTTAAGAAAAAAAAAAAACAGAACTTTTTCATGTTTATGTATAAATTAAAAAATTGGTTTTAAATAAATCAATATGTGAAAATTTCTAAAAACGTTTATAAAAATTCATCAAACATACTCATGAACTAAAAACCAATAATTCACGTAACTCACCTACTCATCACGTTTACTAATTTTAATATATAATATATATGCTATTTATTTTTTTAAGATTTTTTTGTGTTTTAAAAATGGTCTTATCTAGATGTTCAAATAAGTTTAGTAAAAGGTCTATAAATATAATTATTATTTTATAAATAAAAATATAAACAATATTATTTTATGAATATAGTTCATAATATATATATATATATATATATATATATATATATATATATATATATATATATTAATTTGATAAGAAATTCACGTTTAAGAATAAGTATAGGAAAAAAATTATTTGTTTTTTTATTTTTCAAAAACAGTTTCAGATATCCATTTTAAAAATTATTTTTAAAAATAAGTTGAATTTTTTTATAACTCTATATTTTTAAAACTATTTCAAATGGAAGAGAATGATACAAAAAGTTATAAAGAAAGTTACAAATGATTTTCACAACTTTTTATAATGACAAAAATGAGTGATTCTTAGTGAAAAATATTAATATCCATTAACGAAAAATAAATTTTGGTAAAAAATATCTTTTATCAAATTTGTTTCTGTTTTTGTTTTTAAAAATTTAAAAACAAAAACATTTTTATAGAAACTATTTAAACAAAACCAAAGAAAGATTTTAAAAGCTGTTTTAACAAAAATAAGGTTTTTAGTTTTAAAACAATAAACAATAAAGTTGTAAATATTTAATGTCCATTTATTTTATAATATAATAATTAAAATAAATTAACATTTTAGATTATTATATTACTAAAAAAATATTTAATTCTTATTTATAAATTGAATATATTTTTTGATTTATATATTAAATCATCATATTTAAGATAAAAATGAATTTTATCAATATGACTTAAATTTTTAAAATATATTATTTAATTTAAAATATTTTTTTAATTAATTATTTTTAATTAAAAAAATTAACCTATGTTTTTTTTTCATGATTAGATTATATACAAAATTATAAATTTGATCTAATTGGATGATTAATTTATTTACAGAATATGCTAAACTGGATCAGATTAACTGTTTTGATAGTCATAACTGACATAATAATTTATCTAAAAAATATTTTAACTTCAAATATAAGATGAAAGTATTATTAAGACACACACACACCTAACGCATTTAAAATATTATTTAATTATAATATTTTTATTACTATTTTATCTTATAAAAGCGTGAAAAAAAGAGAGTATTTATATTACTTATTATTCACCTCTACTAGTTATGATATGAGTACGAAACCTAAAATATCGCAAAGAGTTAAAAAAAAAAAAAAAACATCTAGAAGAAATTATTCTAAAAACCTTCACACTTTTTACCTCAATTCCAACACATCTTTAACACATTCACCAACATCGACCAAGATACGGTGACAGCACAGCACTAGAACAACACAAGATCTGACAGTCAGATACACAACCAAGAGTCAAACACCTCCATCTACTGCGTTTGTTTTGCCGTTAGCTAAACTTTCTAAAACGACAACAAATTAAATATGTTATTAACCTGAAAACCTTAAAAAAGACATTCAATTAATACGATTTCTTTCATGTTAAGGTAACTTGATTGGACTCATTGACACATAATTGTCTCAAACTGCAAGAGTTGTCGTTGATTCTTAATTTTATATTGTTTTTTATAACATTTATGTTTAGGTTGAAAAAATAAATCCTTTCTTTTAAGTTTTTGTAAAAAGATGCGAAGAAAGGCACAAACCAGTGCCTTTTTATTGAAATATCTATAAAATATAATGTTTAGTAGAGTGTAATTAAACTTTGCAACCAAAACCAAAAACTAACGACCAAAGCAAAAAACACTTCACATGATTCTTATTCTACACTACAACTGCTCTAACCTTTTTACTCTGACAAATTCCTTATGGACATTAATTCAACCGTCGGTCCTAGTACACATATTATGTTTTATATAGGCATGATGGACCAACACAAAATGTACTCTCTTACTATTTTTATTTATAAAATATAAGTTTTTAGAACTTCAATTATTGAATCATTCAATGTTGTTTTCAATATAGAGAGAGCGAGATTGAATATTCAAAAATATTATATGTAATTAAATAAGGTTATATCAAATAACTATAATTCAAAATTATTTTAGATATATGTTTTTAATTAGTTATTATAAAAATTTACATATTATTATATACTAAAAGAAAGAGAGGTACGTGAAACCTCTATAATTTTAAAATATATAATAAATAAAAATAAAAATAAATAAAATATGAAGTTAATTAAAATAAAAAAAATGAGTTAATCATGTCTTATTTTAGTCTATCTCACTTCTCATTCATAAAAGATTGACCGAATAATTGAGTCATTATAATTATGACATATTATAGATTTTAATTTGGACCAATGGACTAACAAATCCGATTATCAATATTTTTTTCATATAACTTTTTTATATGTATATTTTTTTAAAAATACATCTTTAATTATACAATAATTTTTAAATTTTTTTTTAATAAAATAAAATCAATAATGAATTACTTAATAATGTAATATTATAATATTTTTTTACATTTTTGAAAATATGAAGCATAATAAAAGATGGTGTTATTGAAATGCAATTAGTGAACCATACTCAGTGGTACCGGACTTTTGCTGTCCACGATTTTATTATCATTGGTGTTTACTTACTGTGTGCGCGCTGTCCACGATTTCATTATTGTTGGTTTAAGATTGAGATGTGTGGCTGAGAGGATCCTTTATAGGGAGGAATTCCATGCGATGGAGAAGGCCACGTAGAAGCACTCCCACTCCACTCCACTCCACTCCTCATCTCATCACCATGATGGCGGGGCAGTCCAGGAAGTGGATGATCTTGGCCGCCACCATCTGGATTCAGGCCTTCACCGGCACCAACTTCGACTTCTCCGACTACTCCTCTTCCTTGAAGTCCGTCCTCAGCTTCTCCCAGCTCCAACTCAACTACCTCGCCACCGCCAACGACATGGGCAAGTTCTTCGGCTGGTCCTCCGGCCTCGCTCTCATGTACCTCCCTCTCTCCGTCGTCATGTTCATCGCCTCCTCCATGGGTCTCCTCGGCTACGGCCTCCAGTGGCTCGCCATCAACAACCTCATCACCCTGCCTTATTACCTGGTTCCTTTTTCTCATCCATTCGTCTTCCTTCATCCTTAACATCGTCAAAATACACACTGCATTCTATCAAGCTTTACTTAGTGATAGTCAACATTAACTTTATTCACACTTGGGTTAAATATTTACAGGGATTTTTGTTGTCAATTACAAGTTTAGAACATTCCAATGAGATTTACACAGACTTGTCGTTGGGAAAAGCAAAAGAGACTAATTTGAAAAAGTGAGCAGTTTTTGAATCCTTGGGGCTAAGTGGAGAGAGTGGTGACCTTGACTGACCAGTGGCGAAATAGATTTTCAAATGTTTTCTGATATACATGTCAAAGAGTATATCAATTATTCATTTTTTTATTCATGCATAAAAATATATAATAATAAATTATTAATGATTTTTTTTTATAAATTATAATATTTATTTAATTATTTTTTTTAGTTATATGAACTTCAGCGTAAAATTTATATCTATTAAATTTAAAATAAGATTATAATAAACATTTTTATCTAAAAGTTTATTTTATATATATTAAATCATTTTCTTTATTTTTTATTTTATTAATCCATAAATAATATTATATTTCGATAATTTGTAGATAAAACGATGTTATAATTCAAAAACAATATTTTTCTAAATAATCCATAAATCATAATTAAAATGGACAATTAATTCACATATAATAATCTAAATAGGTAATTCACGTATAATTTATATAAATAATTCATAAAAGTTATTTTATTTAGGTAGATATATTAACTTATATATAATATTTTATCAAAATAATCTATCATAATCAACCTATAATATTATTTAATGATTAATATTTTATAATTATTTTTATTTACTTTATAATTAATTTGAAATTTATATTTTAAAATTTTCATAAATAATTATTTCTGTTTTATTTTTATTATAAAGTGAATTAAATACTTATATTTTTTATTTTTCATTATTATAATCTTTTGTTTAAGTTTTTTATCATTATTATTTTGTTTAAATTATCTTAATTTTTGTTTTAAATATAATTAATTATGAATTGATAAAAAATATAAAAAAGAAAGTACATAAATTAATAAAATAATAATAATTTTAAAAAACTTAAATTAACAAGCTTATAAAATAAAAAATAATTAATGTATCATCTTCCTGGGTCCAAGCATTTAATTATTATTAACTTTCCTAGGAGAGACAGCATTAATTAAGCTGGGTTCTTAAGATAAATGGGATGACTTTTTGAGCTTCTGTCCAGTTTTTACAGTATTCTTTATTAGGGTTTGTGTGCTACTCCAGTGTTATATTTTTTAATTTTAAATAAAAACATATTATATTATTAGTGAAACTTGCTGAAGAGGGTACCTGGAATCTGCTAGGGTGATTTTTCTCACTACAGTACAGAATTCCATGCCCAAGATTCCAAGGATATGTCAAATAAAAATTGTTGTTTTCCCAAGTTTTAGAAAAGGTCGTTGTAGTTTTAGATTCCGAAAAGGATAGAAGCTATGAAGCTCTATATAACTATCATTTTTTCCTCCATACAACTTTGATGTTATGATTGTTACGTGTCGTTGTGTTTTGTGTCGTGTTCCTTTCATTCCACAACTTCTCACCGGTAACTCGGTTCATTCTGGTCCCAGTTACACAAACTCCAAATCATACCCATTAGACGTGGTTCTTTTCTATACGTCACTACCTCAGCATATAGCACACACCAGAAAAATTTAGCAACACAATAATAGAACAATGATAATTTATTCACATAAATGATAAATGAAAACAAATATGGAAAATTTCTTTCAGTTTAATTTCAAATTCCAAAGCAAGATTAATGTTGCGTTTACTGGTGGTAACCAAACTATGGTCGATCAATTCCGGAAGAATATTAAACCTCACAAAGTTATAATAATATGTTTATATTTACAAAAAATTGCTTATATTAATTTTTAGTCAAGTTAATAAGCTTTTTACTTTGTATGTGCAGTTCTTTCTTCTGAGCTTGTTGAGTGGCTGTAGCATCTGTTGGTTCAACACAGTGTGCTTTGTTCTCTGCATTAGGAATTTTCCAGTTAACAGACCCCTTGCATTGTCACTCACAGTGAGTTTCAATGGTGTAAGTGCAGCACTCTACACACTTGCTGCCAATTCAATAGACCCTTCATCTGATTCACTGTACCTGCTCTTGAATGCCATTGTGCCAGTTCTCACTTCCCTTGCAGCTCTAGTCCCAATTCTTCTCCAACCTCCTATAGACACTCTCTCTAGATCTCCAGATGCTGCTCACAAAAACTCAGTGATATTTCTAGTACTCAACTTCCTAGCCGTTTTCACTGGCATTTACCTCCTCCTCTTTGGCTCGTCAACTTCTGATGAAGCCACCTCGAGGCTCTACTTTGGTGGGGCCATTTTCCTCCTCATATCCCCACTGTGCATCCCTGGCACCATCTATGCTCGAGTTTGGTTTCACAATGCCATCCATTCCAGCTTTCAGATGGAAGGCTCTGGATTCATTCTTGTTCATGTTGATGATCTTGAGCTTCATAAGGAACTCCTCTCCCGTCAGAATAGTTCTCTCAGTCTCAGCAATGGAGATGGTCACGGCCTGCTGGGTGAGAACGGATATGGAAGTCAGAGGGAAAAAACCGGTGATTTGGGTTGTGACAAGTTGCTTGGTCATAATCAGTTGGCAATTCTAGGAGAAGAGCACACTGCTGCAGTGCTACTCCAGAGATTGGATTTCTGGCTCTATTATGTTGTGTACTTCTGTGGTGGCACAATTGGTCTTGTCTACAGCAACAATCTGGGACAGATAGCTCAATCTTTAGGCCTGAGTTCAAGTATATCTACCCTTGTCACACTATACTCAACATTTTCTTTCTTTGGTCGCTTGCTTTCAGCTATGCCAGACTACATTCGAAAGTAAGTATTTTCTCACCATTATTGTATGTATCATGTTTTGGCTCAATTCTTTCTCTGAATAAATGATTTATACAACAATAAAATATTTTTACACTTGGATATCACCAAGAACTATATATAATAAATTTTTTGCCCTCTACAATTATCTTAAAATCATATTATCGCGTAAAATCTTTTGTATAGAAGCTACATATACATGCTAAACTCTTACGTTAAAATCATAGCAAAGATGATTTCTGATTATACATAAACATTAATACAGACAATGCATCTGTGTTAAATTCTTTTTAATTAAAACTACACGAAAGATAATTTATTCGAAGAGTGCATGCATACTTTTTTAACATTGAGTGAATCTTGAGATATAATATAAGTTTTTAGCAGTTATGATAGTATTTTTTCCAAAATGCAGCAAGTTCTACTTTGCAAGAACCGGATGGCTATTAATTGGTCTTGTTCCAACCCCTGTCGCGTTTATATTTCTAGCTGCATCAGGCAGTGCGGCAGCAGTTAAAGTAGGTACTGCACTGATTGGTCTGAGTTCTGGTTTCATATTCGCAGCAGCAGTGGCAGTAACATCGGAGCTATTCGGACCCAACAGTGTGAGTGTCAATCACAACATTCTCATAACAAACATCCCAATTGGGTCTATTCTCTATGGCTTTCTGGCTGCAGAGATCTACGACGCCAATGCGTACTCAATCCCGGGTGACTTAGTGGGTGACACACTGGTGTGCATGGGAAGGAAATGCTACTTCTGGACATTTGTGTGGTGGGGAGGAATGTCTGTCCTAGGACTTGCTTCTAGTGTGTTGTTGTTCTTGAGAACCAAACACGCGTATGATCATTTTGAGAGACACCGTAGGAGTATTTCAACGGAAGCAGTTGTATCTTAACATTGGCACTGCAGAAAGGTGGAAATCATAGAATTGTTTATGTATAGGGACTATGATTTTGGAGGCAGATCTAGAGCAAGGGCAAGTGATTATGTTCTGCAATGCACCAAAGAAATAAATATGGAGGATTGTGGAAGCTTTGGAAGGGAACAACACGCGAACTTCAACGGCTTTTGACAGCATTAGTTGTGTCGATGTGAGCTGAGAAACTAGATGTAAAAGCATGGGCCAGATGTATATCAATAAAAAATGGAAATCCTTAAATTGTGAAAAGGATTCTTTAACAAATCTGTGTATCAAGAATATTTTTCCCTTTTTGTAAAAAAAAAAAAAATACAATATATCTTTACTTTTTTAAATGTTTTAAATTCATATAACCATTTTTTTTTGTCAATTTACAGTTTCTCTAATAGCGAAATACATCGTTTTTATAATTCAGATGGTTTAGATAGGAGGACGAGAAATGGTTTAGTAGTAATTAAAGAATAAAAAGTAATGAAGGTTAATAATTAAAATAATCAAGATAATAAAGAGCTTTTATTATTAAATTACTTATGTGTTTAGATGTAGACTTCTTCACCTAAGTTATGTACTTATTATTTTAGATAAATAAAATAATTGAATATCAATTTTATAATATTTTAGCGCTGGTGTCTTGTTTACATATGATGGTCTAAGAGGGAATAAATTGATGTTGTTCATAAAAATAATTTAATATTTTTAGTAAACTACTGTTTGTGAATATTTTAAGAGGCCATTCTTGTAGTCTTTATTTGCTCAAGTTAAGAAGGCTTTTCATGCTAAAAAACTATAACATTATTATGTTATTGCATAGTTCCTATTATATGCTAAAAATTGATGATTGAAGGCTTGAAACAAAAACACTGTTAAAGGCTTCTTCTTACCAGACAAGTGTGATTATCAGAAAGTATATGTAGCTCCTTTTTTAAGCCTACTATCATATAAAAAAGAAAAGGCTACTATAACATCATCACGATATATAGAATATGGTCTTCCAAGCCACAATGCTAATAAACTGATAAATTATAATCACCAGAACAATATCCCAAATTGACAAATTTTAAAAAATTTGTTACATTCCTGCTGAATAACAGAAGTGGTTAAGGCAATGATGGAAAGAAAAAGCTTACACCTCAAGGATAGTTACAAAATTTATCTTCTTTTATGCATAGGAACAGTCTCTCATATGCCAATGCCATCTTTGTTGCTGTAAACATAGAAATTGCGTATTCACGGCATGCCTTTCCCCTCCTTGCAAGCCTTGCCTTTCCTTCCCTCACCACTGCTTCAAGTCCATCCAAGAGGGATTCCACGTTGGGAGAGAACATAAAGCCAAATTCATCATCCACCACAATACTACCTTTGATGCTTGGAAACCTTGATGCCAAAAGAGGCTTCCCGCTCATCATGGCTTCCATCAGAGTAAGATCAAGCCCTTGTGGTCTAAGCGTAGGATTGACAAAAATGTCAATGGCATTGTAGAATGCTCGTAGCATGGAAGGATTCATGGATCCAAGAACAAGAACTTGGTTTCCTAAATCCCTGTATCGATTCTCCCATGGTCCTGAGCCAGCTACAATCAAATATACATTAGGGTGCTTTGTTATTAGCCTAGAGTATGCTTCATGAAGGAGAGGGTGGCCTTTGTCCTTCACTAATCTTCCAGCTACACCAAGCACTAAACTAGCATTGCTTGGAATGCCAATTTTAATTCTAAATTCCTTTCCCAAGTCCACTTCTTCTCTGAAGTCATCCTCATCAACTCCATTGAGAATCACATGCACTCTTCTGCTGGGGATTTGGTACACATCTCTTAACATCTCGCCACAACTATCACTGATAGCAACATGGTGTGCATAGTTTCTGAAGAACCTGATCTCTTTTAGGATCTTAGGGAGAACCCCTTGCAAGCCTTTGTCAAAATCCGGGGATCTAGGCTCATCAATTCTACGAGCTAAGTCTTGGAAAATGCTAGATTGCAAACTCTCCAGTGCTATGCCATGCCATGAAACTACAAGGTTTGGAAGGTCGCGAGCGAGCCAGTGAGGAAGTGCTACACTTTCTGAGTGAACAACATCGAAGGGTTCTTTTTGGTTTTGTTCCAGAAACTGTTCCCATGCTTTGTTGTAGCGCCACTTGCCTGGCTCCCCTTCATGGCAATGGATGAAGGGTGAAGAGGGTGCATTAGCATCTGCTTGTTGATTGGTTGTCTCTGAAGAGAAGGTTGGCGTGGTTTCTTCTTGTGGAGGAGAGGTGAAGATATGAACCATGTGGCCCCGCTGAGCTAGAGCAGTGTGAAGTGTGTATGCATGGCGCTCCATGCCACCAGGAATGGTTCCAATAGGCCATTTTCTAGAGAAGACAGCAATTTTGAGAGGTACGGGTGAAGGGTTGTGTTCGAGAAATGGGAGTTTGTTCCATGCGAATTCGGCTAAACGAAGATCACCTGACCAGGTTTTGGATAGGGTGGTGCATGTGGTGGGTGTGTGGAGGAGGAAAAATGCTGGTATGGTGAACAGTACAAGAAAGAAAAGGGTGACGCAGAAAGTAAAATTAGAAGGAGAACTGGACTTCTTTGATTTGTTGTTGAAGGCCATTTGTTAAAGGAATTCTAAAATTTTGGACATGGATTTTATTTTTGCGTTTTGAATTCTGTGGCTTATGAGGTGGAAGATGGGAAGTATCTAAGGGGGATAGTGAGGTATACATGCAATGAACCGTTTAGTTGGATTTTACTTTAATAGCATTTCTCACGCCCCTTTTTGGGGAAAAAAAGTGGATTCATGTGGCAGAGTTTTCGTAGGTTTCTGAATCAGAAACTTTAGTTAATATGCACACTCATGCCCGAATGGACTTGAGAGAAATTTAGAGTCACTATTGATATGCTGAATTCCGGATTAAGTTTTGTCTTGTGTAGAAAGAAGGACACCACAACTTCGGCTAATTACAAATTTACAACGTTTTCTTCTTGTGATTTAGAATTTTGCATGATCTGATGCCACACAAACTGAAGCAGAGTAGCTAGCCTAAGATATTTTTTCAATAAGTTTTCTACATTACTTGAATAGTAGATCATAGTAAGAAAAAAAATTGGGTGGATCCTGCTACATAGAAGTCAAAGTTATTATGCAAAAAAACATTTTATTTGGTCAATTCAACTTTCTATCATTATCACTCAACCAACCGTATTAAGAAGCCTATTTTTATAATAGAATTTGACACATGTGCTTCCTGGAGAACCGCTGAACATGATGGGGTTCTTGCAATTTGCTTACATAATTTGAAAGGTTTATAATTTGGTCCCTTCTCACCATTTTTGGAATATATAAATGGTAGTCAAATCATGTGACGTAATTGTGGGATTTGTCCAGTCCTAAAGCAGTTGAAATTTTACTCGTCTTCCTGGCTTAATGGTTTTCTTCTCAAGCATTGCATATAACTTTGAGTAAATAGCATTTACAAGCTATCCTTGATCTGTAAATCACATGGAAAGGCTTTTCCTTGAAGAAATGAGTTATGTTCTCACTTCTTATGATAAACCGGACACGTATTTCAGTGGGAATTTTTTTCTCGGGAGATGTCTTAATATATAAGATTATTTTTCTTGTATTCGGAAGATTTGGTTTAGTTTATAACTACAGACAGTTAATAAGCATGTTATCAGTTGATTTAAAAATGTAGCTGATTTTCATTTTGATGGATTGAGAAGAAGATCTCACTTGTCAAAGGAAGATTTTAATGTACACTCATTAGTTTATCTATATTGCATATATGTTTTATACATTTAATTACACATATATAGGGTGGCTTAACAATTTCTCGTATACCACATGATACTAGAAACCACTCTTCCAAAAGGTAGCAATCAAGTTTTCTTGCTCATAACTGGAGATGGTTGCTTGTGGTTTGCACCGGCTCTAGTGTTCACATTCACCTTGTTGTTGGAGACTCTATTCCTAGTAGATTTTTGTGACACTGGCCAGTGTCCACTGGTAACTGCCATGTCCTTGTACTGTTGCAAGCCTTCAAGAGTTTCAACAATCATTGCCATTCTTGGTCTGTCTTTAGGATTCAAACTTATGCATTGCAATGCCAAACGGGCCAATTCTTTTGCACCCTTCACAGAATATTGACCTGCAAGCCTTGGATCCATGATGTACCTCAACCTCCTACTGCTACTCAAGTAAGGTTTTGACCAATCCACAAGGTTTTGCTCAGTCTTTGGTCTTGTTTTGTCCGTTGCTCTTCTTCCTGTAAGCAGTTCTAGTAGGACTACCCCGAAGCTGTAGACATCACTTTTGGTGGTTAAATGCCCTGTAAACAAATATTTGTTGCATTAAAGTCTGCAAAGTATGCCCAATTTGACGAGAAATTATTGCACGGTTAGTTCCACATGGTTCGACCAATATCCACATGCCCAATTTTCAGAAAGAGTTAATAACATTCTTTTTCATTACCAAGAAGAATCCCGTCAAACACTGTAACTATCTTCCTTGGATGTAATTATTAACGTATAATATGGCTGATTCATTGCACTAATTTTTATCTGACAAGTAATCATATTCAATTTACCAAAAAGCATTAGAAAATGTCATATGAAGATTGGTCGTGATTGTAGATCATATAATAATTCCTCCCCAATTGACGCCAGTTATTGATTGAATTCCACTTTTGTTCTCCTTAGGGAAGAAAGAAACATATGCCAGAAAATAGGTGCACATCAGATTTATTAATTTTACCTGTTGAGATGTATTCTGGGGCTGCATAACCATAAGTGCCCATGACTCTGGTTGAAACATGTGTGTTTGATCCCTCTGGCCCCATTTTCGCAAGTCCAAAATCTGATAATTTTGCTGTGAATTCCTATTTTAAACAGAGAGATTGGTAGTTTCTAGTGTTATTTAACAATTTTAATCAATAACAAAGAGAATGATTGGTAGTTGATTACGTACAGAATCAAGCAAAACATTGGAAGTCTTGAAGTCTCTATAAATGACTGGTTTCTCAGCTCCATGCAAGAAGGAAAGGCCTTTAGCAGCACCTGTTGCAATTTTTAATCTTGTTCCCCATGGAAGAGAGGTTAGCCCTGCAGTTACATGCAGTGACTAACTGAGTTAGGCATTGTTCGTTTAATATCTTCAGAACAAATTTCTATTTTCTACAATGGGTTCTATAAACACATTTCTGTGTTCTATAACTTTGTCTCTTCAGCGTAAGAACAGAGAATTTGAAGAAGAGATTAAGAAAACTTCTCCCAGTTGTTTCTGTATTTTTGTGTTTAAAATACTAGTTTTGAAAACAATTTCAAAACTTAACAGAATTTTGATGATAAATTGAATACTACTCAGTCGTGTAAAACTGCTTTAGAAAACAGAAAATAGTATGAAGTGAATCAAACAAGTAACTTAAAAAAAGACAAAAAGTGTTGCTTAGCGAGGCTTTGGAAAGTATGTATAACAAATAAAAATGTAAAAGGATTTTGAGGCATACTTCTGAAGAGGTGATTCTCCAAACTTCCTCGTGGCATGAATTCATAGACAAGTAATCGTTCTTCATCTTCACAGCAATACCCAATCAACTTAACCAAATTGGGGTGTCTTAGCTGCCCAAGAAAAATCACTTCTGCCTGCAATCCAATCCAATTATTCAATTCACCCACCCAAAAAAAGGGTGCTTCTGATTTAGCTTTATACAAAATTTTACAATATTTTTACAAGGATTAAAAAACTAAAATAGAGATAACAATAAGAATGGTTAAACTTTATGTGAAGGTTGCAAAAGAAAAAGCTAAACAACTTAAAAGGTGCTCTTAATCAGATTGATTAAAAATCACTAGCGCATTTGTTCCCAAAACAAAAACTTTTGCGCTGGCAGGCATTGGGTTTCAAATTCAGGCCCATTGATATAAAATGGGCTCCGGTCTTCAAAGGGAATGTTATTTTTTGTTTATAAACAAATTTTTCTATAAAAATATAGTAACTATCTTAGGGAGTGTAGTTTATTTTTTATTCATTAATTGATATATTTGTATGAATAATTCTCAAACTATTGTAACACTTTATTTACCTAGTCGTTTATTCATAAAGTTTCAATATTAAAATAAAAACAAAGAACTTCATAAAATTTAACCCATGCATTTCTGATTCCTTAGTCTGGTTTCTCTCAAATATAATAAATAATAGTTTTTGAAAACTCTCTTACAGCATACTATTTTATTTCACTTTTCTTGTACTGTAAGAGATTAACTAGCATCAATCCTCCCACGAACCAAAATAATAAAATATGAGCATAAAAAGTGATATAATAATAGTGCATGGCAATATGAAAGTCTTGTAAAGTTAGTACAAAATTCTCTGACTTTTCTCTTTGGATGCCTAATCAGAAGAGTCCATGGAGTATATAATCCACTCCCACTAGTTGCATCACACCTTAAAAATGAATTGCCAATATTCTGATTCTAACAACTACATCAAAAGTAAACGACCCTGATAACCAATACACACTCTATCAACAATATTCTCATGAGTTTTCTGAACTGATATCCAAAGTGTTCTTAATCGATTGATATTGAATACACACATTGACCTTAACACTATGTGATGTTCGAGATGATTTGCAATAGTTAATAAAGAACAATACGTAATGATCGATACTCACAAGCCATTCACGGTGTCCTTGCAAGCCTTCTATGTCAAGAAGCTTGACAGCAACAGGTTGTGCCTTCAAACCAAGTCTGAAATTATCATCTAAGTAGCCCTTATGCACAGTTCCGAACCCTCCTTCTCCTAGCAAGAAGTTGCTGCTGAAATTCTGCGTTATGGCACGCAACTCACTCAGCTGAAAATCAAACAAGTCCGACCCAAAAGACTGAGCAAGATCCTCGTTGATTCGCACAGACGAGGAACGACTGAGATCAGAGAAGGAGAGCCTCCTGAACGATGGCAAAGGAGCAATGTTCTTTGACAAGTCAGAACGTGAAGGCTTGCACCTACTGAAGTTCTTGAAAATGGTTTGGTCCTCTGTGGAGCAGCAATTTGCAGTGAAGGGTCGCCATGGCTTTGATGGTTCCTTCATTTTCTTAAGGTCTTGTGCCAAAGGGTTATGATGTTGTGCAAAATTTAAGTACCAGGAATATTGTATAATATATGTTTGATGGAGATTGAGGAAAAGATATTCTTTCTTCAACTGCTCTAACCACTCTGGTAATTTTTGGGGGCATTATAATATGTTGTCATATGTTTGTTTACTTATGTATGTATATGTTGTTTTTGTTCTCTGATTTGGCATCTATGTCGTGTCTTCATGCACAATACACCAATGTCTCCAAAATAAAAATTAAACAAAAAACTCATGTCTCTACCAAAATAATAACTTGCATATAACATGTTTATCTTAAACATGAAGGGTGTAAATTGTACATAGATTATTAAATCAATTGATGATCGACATGGATACTAATATTTATGCTGTTTGCCAATATGAAAAGTTTTATGAAATGTGTGTATTACAAGAAATTATTGGTTAGAATAAAATTATATAGAAAGTTACTAATTTTAAACATAAGTTGCTACTCTAATCATAGCCATAGGTGGCGTAAGGATACATTTAATTATACAGTAAAATAAATCAGATTGGATAGAACCTTATCTGTTCCATGAGGAGAATAGGGCAAATAAATTCTAAATTTCATTCATAGTTTATGTTAACAGGGGTAATTAAGAAAACTTAATCAATCTCACCCTTTTACTTTGAATATAGTATATGTGCGCTAATGATTTGGTAACCTAAGTAATCGTATAAATTTTAACAGTGACGAAGGGAATGATAGCATCAATTATGTCTTCATTCAGAAAGACAAGTACCGTGAAGAGGAGCAGTTGCATGTTGAAGTGCTGGATAAGGTATTCAAAAAGCTAGTCCAAAAAGTCATATTTATAATAAAAGAGGAAGAAAATAATCAAAAATTAAATTAAAGAAAAAAAAAAGGTAGTGTATGAGGTGTATATACACATAAGTATGTTACGTACTCATTTGAACCAATTTCAACTACCAGATAAAAATTAAATCATCCATCAATCTGATGTTAATTTTGTCAAACTTTGAAAATGTTGGTCATATCTTCATATTCTATCTTCTACTTTGTATATTCAATTAATACCAAAACCGGTTTAACCAGAGTTCACTAAAGTTGTAGGAGATAAAACAAGATGATTTTTATATGCAACCAAATGTATTATGTATGCTTCTATATATAATTAAGGAAGTGGGTTTGTTATTGCTGTTTATATAAATTTAACTTGTGGATTTGTTTCAAAATTTTCCATTCAAATATTACTGTGAGTTTGCATTTTGTTAATGAGATAAACGTTAATTAATTTATTAAAAAATTCACATCATCTTTAACTTAAAATCTTAAATATAAAATCTTTCTTATGTTACTAAATTTTTTAATTCTTACAAAATATAAAACTTATATTTACACTTAAATTTTTTAATATAACCATTTTAAAAAAAAAAACCTTACATCCCTATTATATTACAATAATAATAATAATAATAATAAGATTAGTATCTTTTAGTTGTTAAACAATTTTTATTATATCATCTTTAACCTTCACATTGGCACTATAGAATTTAAGAATGCGATGGAGTCACGTATAATAATGATAACTTTAAATAATAATAATAAGTTATAAATATAATATTTTAAAATTTTATGTTTCAGAATAATATTATATTCTCTTAGTTGAAGAAACCAACTCGCTGGTTAATAAATTTTGGACACTGAAGATTAATTTCAGTATGAAATTTTTAAGTGTAACATCGAAAGTTTGTATCAACTTTAATCTCTTTTTCTTCATATTTTTTTCTGAAATGTATTCTGCAACTTTTTTCACTGCATGTGCAAACAGAAAGCAGAGATAATTAAAGCACGCGTTTCCTAATTTTGTTTTGCATCACAAAATGCTATAAATTCAAAACTCTAATGTTGGAGTACATGAAAAATAGAAGCTTATTAGAACAATATTAGGTTGCGTCGAAAAGCACACACTGAGAATTCAAGAGCATGAACCTTGATCTTTGATTGAATCTGCAATGCGTTTGAGAATCAAACTTAATTAATGTGAAGTATTTATAGTTTTAATTAATCTACATCTAACACTAACTCAAGTGTTCTTCTATATTTAAGTTATTTATAATTAAAAAATAATTAGAATTTTAAAATACTTATATAAATTATAGTTTTATGATAATTTTAATCTCAAAAACATAATTATTCCTTAGTTTCCACGTTTAAAAAATATAAACATTTTAGTTCCTTAATAATTTATAGTCAATTATTTTTTAAACAAAATGCTTGATATACATATGTAAAAGTGAGAAATCTGCTATCAATTCATTCTTAATAAGAATGTAAAAAAAAATGTTATCAAATAATTTCTAGAAATCACAAAAATATATTCGCATACACAAATATTTATGGGACAAAATTCATTATGAATAAAAATAGATGTTTAATAAATATTTGTGAATAATTTTTTAACTATCAACTTCTTGTTAATAAAGTGTGGATACGAATATTAAAATATCTATATTAAGGATATCTATTAACTTTTGTTTAATTTTTTCTATAATCAAATTATGAACATTAAGTTATTGAAAAAGAAAACATTAACAGTTAATAATTAAAGGATGGTTTAACATTTGATTTTATATGACTGTAATGTGATAACACTCAATTTTGTCCTTCATTTCATTGTCACATCTGAACCATGGAACCACCATCACAGAACATGATGTTACAAACCAAGTATCATAAGATCTTAACATCGTGTCACTTAAACCTACCAACAACGTTAATTTCATATCATTTGACCAAACCAAGCACCATGTTTTTTCTCTATCAACTTGCAACTCCATTAATAATGTCCCATCACAAGTTATCATGATCTACAAACATTTCTCATTTTATCATGGACATGTTATATACACAATCAGACTAAATATATAATCATAACACTAATTATTGAATTTCTATATTGAAAATGTCTTAGGAGGAATAATGGGTGAAAATATGTAAACATTTCTTCACACAGACAATGAGACATTTCTCTTGAAAAAGACAACACAGTTGATAGACCAGTCCAACACAATTATCTTATTGGATAGCTTTTTTAACATACCACCAATCTTATGCATTACTTGAAGATAAAGAAAACACAATTTATTAAATAATGTATGACATAAAAAAATTGCTATAAAAGGAAGCCACCAATTAATAAACCATACATTTCAATACAATAACAAATCAGTTGAATTCTTAATTTTCAAATGAACCTATTGAAAAAACCAGATCAAGATCAGAGTAAAAATCAATTTTTATTTCTGAGAGATAATTTGTAGAGTCTATACACTTTGGAAATTCTAGTTATAATCACAAATTCAGGAGAAGAAAATTAAGAGAAAGCATCACATATGAATAAACTCACAAATATTTACATAAGATTTGGTTCTTTCGGAGGATCAGAGAGAATCGATTTGATCGTGGAAACATCGATTCTTGCTGATTCCTGCTTGACCCATTGGACAACCCTCTCTGCTTCCTTGCTCACCCTTTCTTCCTCTTCCAACGCTTTCTTCAGCCTCTTTTCTTGTTCTTTCACACAAAACGTGCTCCTGTCAGATAGCATCATCTCATCATTCTTTCCCCATTCAACGTCCTCTGAACCCAACACGCCACTGCTTTTGCCATTCCTTTCAACACTCTTCTTGCCGGAGGAGAAGCAAAAGCAACATGCTGATCCTCCTCTGTAATCTGACTCCATCATGAATTTTTGGTAACGGAATTTGATGATTAATGTGGAGTTGTTGAGACGAGGTGTTATTTGAAGAATATGTCTTGTTCCTTGTCAGCATATGCTTAGGTTCATTGTCGGTGAGATGTTGGGACCCAGTTGAAGCAATTTGATTGAAATTGTGAGCATTTTATGAGGTGCTGAAGTATGTGTTTTTTTCATTCATGGCTATTAAGATAATAACAGGTTAATTTAGTATTTATAATTCAACTCTTTTCAATTAGTTAAAAAAAAAAGAGATTATATAAGTTATTTTTCTATTTTACTCTCAAATGAATTTTTTTATTTGTCATATTAAACAAATATTTCAACCTCGAATTCCCAAAAATTATATAATTAAGATCAATTAATAATGTGAGATATTATCTTTTCTGGCAAAATGGAAACTATAATTGATAATTCACCCTTGTTTTTTCTTGAGATTATTCAACATAAAAAAAAAACAAAAAGTTTATGTATTAGTATTGATTTTGAATTAATTTAAGATTCTACTTCGAAACTGTAATAAATTTATTAAATATATATAATCAATTATAAAATGAAACTCTAAATAATACCAACAACATATAAATGAATTAAATATAATAAAATCATCAATTTAACCACATTAATTTTTAAATTTAATTACTCATTATCACTTTACTACTTTAAAATTAATATTACAACGTAACTCATTCCATTTGTATAAACATATTTTTAAAATTTTATTACTGTTAGAATTAAAATGAGTTTAGCAGAAAACCTTCCACGTGTCCATATCTAAAGGCGCAATGTTGAGTAGTGGGCCCTAAGAATGCGCGCGTGGACCCCACACTCGGAAACGACCAATTAGCCGTTGGCTCGTTTTGACTCTGAACCCCCCTCACGCTCTTGTTGCTTTCCCTCTTCCTTTCCCTTTTCACACACACTTCACAACAATACTCACTCACCTTAAACAGCACAAACCACACTTCATCACCAACAATGGTGGGTTTCTACGACTTCTCCGACACCGATAACGAATCCGCCATAGAAGAAATCATCTCGCAGGCCCAAGACGCATGCATTTTGGACCAACTCTCCGCCATCAACTGCTCCGGAATCACCAACTCCGTTCTCCCTTCCCACCTCGAAACCCGTTTCCGCAACCTCAAGTCCTTCCCACCAACCAAACCTCGCAGCATTCCCACCCCCTCTCCAAGAAACCATGCAAGTTTCAAACTTTCGCCCTCCAAACAGAATCCAGATTCTGGGTACACTTCTTCGCATGACAAAAAGGAAGTGGGAGAAAAACCTAAAGATGGTTCTGTTTCTTCGCCCCCGTTTTCCACTTCCTCTGAGGAAAGTTCTATGTCTTCCATTTTCAAACCGGCGCAAAAGGACGGTTCGAAAAAGGACTCTCCTTTGAGGTCTTCGAGTTCTCCTTCTCCTTCGCCTCCTCGTAGGAGGGGTTGTTTGTGGTGCTCTCCCAAGAAGAAGGAGCAGAAGAAGAAGAGTAAGGAGAATTGGGGTGATGAGTTTTTGGCCGAATTGGGAAGTTTCTCGATGAAGGAGCAGCAGAAGATCCTGAAGAAGGCGATGAAGGAAGAACAGAAGGTTAGCCGCGAGGCTGAGAAGATCGTTCAGTGGGCTAAGCAAGCATCTGCAAAAATGAAAGCTTCTGACATTGATGATGAACTCAGTGATTGATGAGCACTGAATGTTGGGGTTCTATATCAAATTACTCTTCTGATATTCAGAGGGAAAGAAGGAAAATTAGTAGATATTAAAGCTGTTACAAAGCATTTTTGTTGTTTTGTTTCGTTTGAGGACAGGGGAACACTCAATTTCATTGTAAGTACTGTCCCAATGTTGCATTTGTCTTATTTTACATCAATACAATTTTACATAGTTTGTGGATTACCTCGTTTGGCTGTAATGAGTTTATACAACTGATAATGGAGATATTTTTTTGCAATTTTATTTCGATTTGATTATCTCCATTGTGTTTTTGGTCAATTTTAGATTGTAATTACTCTGTAGTTTTACAGTAGTTGGCAGACTTGTAATTTGTTAAACCCCAGTATGCTTTGTTACAATTTGGTGTTTGTTTTGAACTTCAATTTGATGGGTCAAAGCTATATGATTAATCATAAGCACAAATTGTTTTTCTGGGTAGTTTAAAACCTAAAAAATGCATTGCACTAATTTTCAATTTAGTTTCTGAGGGCGGGATTTCAATATGTACAATTGTTTTTATTACTCTCCTTAACATATATACATTAAAAATAAGAACAATTTTTCATGTACATCCATTTCTTCCAAATACCAAAGAAAAAAAGTATAATAATTATGGTACTTTCATGAAACTCCTCACTTTATTTTATTTATTTCACATCCGATCTCATATTTGGGCATGCCATTGCAAGTCATATCAGACTTGACTTTTTCCGGAGGTACTTGATAATAAGGAAATTATCTAACATGTGTGATAGTTTTACTTGGGATTTCCTCTTGAAAGTTCACATTATGAAAAAGGAATCATTGATGAATGTATCAGACTTTCTTCTTCTTCTTTTTTATGCCCAAATGGACCTGTTTTGGAACATGAATACTTTTAAATGATGGAATGTAACTGGGATGTCTGTTCACATTAGTTCAACCACAGTAATTATATTAGAACGTATGTTGTATCATAAGAAAATGATTTTAATAAATGGTAAAGAAAAATCAACTAAATCCGTGTCATGTATGATATTAAACAAGCTGGAAAGTTCGTACATTTTTTCTCTTTAACGCATGCACGTGAAAACAGAGCGAAGAGAAATTGATATAAGTTTCAGAGGGGCAAAGGAACCTAAAGTCATTAGCTGTCTTAGATCCTTCAAGCACATGTAACTTTGTCTCTGTGTGTATGAATGTATGCAGCTATTGCATACATGTGAGAAACGAATATATAGAGAATCTGCTATACATTTTCTGGACAAAGAAAACCTTTAAGGAACTTATGTATATAAGCCAACACGCGTGTGAAATCCAGTTTATTTGAAATCTATGATTCTAGTTTTGTTTAAACCTTCATTTAGTTTTCAGATAATCCATTAACACCATATAAATTTCTGGGTCCCAGTAACATAGGCTACAATTTTTTTTGCCAGACTAGAAAGATATAATGCAACTAAAAAATAAATTACTTTTTCCATATTGATAATACATAGGAAGATTTCTTAATACAGAGATTCCTGTCATGTCTTCATTTAGAATTACAAACAATCCTACAGAATATGGACAGCATAAAATTAACATTTAGCAACCTCACTAAGCTTTTCATCTCCAAAACTAAGTTCCTTAGAATGAGGGTCTAAGAAAATGCATATAATATATATATCAATCTACATAATCAAACTATTTCCTATTTCAATTATGCTCACATCACATATACAAGGTACTGCACGCCCAAAAATAATAGCAAACACTTGCTATGGCTTTTCAAATGCACCTATTCCGTGAGTACAATATACAATTTTGACCTCACCTAATCAAAAGACCAATGTTGGTATTGAATGACGTTATTCCGTTACCTTGCTGGCCGGTATCAAGTCCTGTCTCTGTACATAAGCAGAGGGAAACCATCCAGCATTGCCTTTGCACTCTCCTTCAGACCATCCATTGGGCCCAACCTGGAAATGTAACAACAACCACAAGTACAATAGAAATGCAGCTCAAATCAGCTAGCCTGGTATTGGCAATGTAGATTCTAACTTAATGTCTAAAAGCATTTGGCTCTTGATGCCAAAAGCAGAGGGACAAAATGGAGATATAATCTAAATTCACTTGTATAAAAAAAATTCCCAAGATAAAACGACCAAAAATGAATCTCTTTTGAAGTTAACTCATTTATTTGATTTTCATACCTTCATCTGCTTTAATGCCCACTATCTGTTACTTAAACATAAGAAACATTTAACTTAGATATTCAAACCTTTCACCGCATAATCATTTTGGTAACATGCAAATACAGGCAACATTTTTACTATTATTGTTCGGAAGTGTATGGTGTGCCTTTTCTTACGTCTGAGATCTCACAAAATAATGTGGTCGAAAAGCTTGGGCATTCCTTACTTACTAGTTGGTTTTGTGGAGTTAGAGTCCAAGTTCAAATTCTAAGAACTTCTACTGCCACATCTGATTCAGTACTTGCAAAATATGTTACAATTTTATTATGACAAAAAAATATGAATACCAAAAAGTCCATCTTCAGTTCTTTACACAAGCTAAAGTTAACCTTAGAAAGAGTCGGTTTATCTGGAGTACAAGCGAAGATGGATCACAAATAGCTGAACAGTTCTTAAAGAAATACCTGACGAACTACAACAAAATCATCAACTGATAGGCTTAACTCCCCCTCAGCCTGAGCATCAAATGGATGTACGACCTAGAAGACAGATAATGAGGAACATGAATCAGTCCAGAAGATTAACAAAAATGGAAGATTGCACTGCACTGGTTCAAACATATTTTGGATTATATTATCCTATGACAAGACATGAATTCTTATTTTGCACAAGTTTTTTTTTTTGTCCTAGCGGTCAGATATTCTTCATATTAGACAATAATGCTAGAATGGTAAGATAAGACCACTATTATTAGCGGAAAAGTTATCCCCAAGTACTTTGCACAAAGATTTGTCAATGTTTATGCGTATGAACGTGAATGTGATGATCTCATAACATTCACCATTTTACACATTTTGTTTTCTGTAGTACCTTCATGAAAAAGTATATGACAATTTGATAATGAAAAGAGGTATCTGGAGTAAGAAGACAAATACTTCATGGCTTAAAATCACTGCATATATATAATATAGCAAATATCCATAAATTCAAATATGCTGACACATGAAAAATCAATATTAGCTAGCATTAAAAGCAAAAAAATAAGTATCTGTGTAGGTTTCATCTTTATCAGCAATAAACTGCAAGAATACAGTTGTAAATTATGAAGAATTTGTAGAGAAAGATTTATTCATCGGTTAAAACGTGACCTACCTTTGCAAAAAAGTATGTGCCTGTTTGATTGTTGTGTTTATAATCAGTGCCATTTGAAGCAGCATTCTCATCTGCAGGTTGATTATGTTCATCTCTTGGCACTGGAAATGATGTGGCCTCTTTTGGTTGTCTCTCCCCAATTATCTAACGCCATATAACATTCAATATAAGATACAGGTTATTAATTTGATCAGCACCCCCAAAAAAATGAATAGAATATATGCCAGAAGCTAAAATGTAGAAAAGAGACAGAAACTAGTAATATTCTTCTGATTTGAAGTGTATGGGTATATGGTGACTGACCTCAGCATATGCTTTCTCTAGAATAATAAGGACATGCTGATGATAGGCTCTTTCTGCATCCACCTGCCAAAAGGGGGAACAGATGAAAAAAGAAAGAAAAGGTTTAGGAGAGGAAGATTTCCTCAAGGCTCAAGAACCATATAATACAAAATTTAACTAGAAAATAATGTAATGAGTGCACTCAGTTAAGCAAACATTATTTACTATCGTGAATTTAAGTTCTCGTTAAGGTTTTGATCGCCATCATGTCAAGAAATCTACTTAGTTCATAATTCCTATTACTTTAAGTAACCAACCAAACCATAAGTATAGTGTAAAGAAATTTTCCTTCTTTTTTATAATTTTCATATAGGAAGCAACTTGGTCAATGGCAACCCCGGGCAGCCCAGTACTAAAGAGTACAAGACTCCCACCTAGTGGGGTTTCTGGTTAGCAATAAATGTACAGTCTTACCCCCACAAGTAGAGACAGTTCCAGGGTTTAAACCCATATGCACTAAGGCTCGCCCTCTGGTCAATGGCAACAACTTTTGTATGAACAACAAATATTGATACTTTCAAATTGTTACTAGTTAGCACTTGACACTCCATTCAGCTGTTAGCAATATAATATACTATAATACTAAGCTTTGTTGTTAACCACGAGTCAGGCACATTACAGTCTAATCAGTAGTGACATTGGCAAGAGAGTACTGTCACAAGGAATTTAGCAATACCATTGTACGAAGGCTCTGGAGTGTCATCTGTTGTTGTTGTTCTTCAACGGACAACATTGCGGCAGTTGCTTCTTTACCAAGTGCCCCCAAGGCAGATTTTAGTTCTTTCAACCTTGTTTCTGCATTTTGAAGCCTAACAGAACTCTCTGCAGAAACAGAAGAATTCCTCAACTTTGATCGACGCCTCAAAACTTCAGCAGCCTGATGAGAAGATATATATGATAAATACCACGCATAGCATACCACCAATGCACCACTGTATCAGTAAATTATTACCTGCGCTTCTACTTCTTGATGAAGTTTATCATACCGGTGAGTGAGGTGGCGTGCATCCTCCAACGGAGCTCCTGTTATCTGTGCCCGCAGTGGCTCAGAGATCTATACAAAACCTGAACCAGAGTTAGAAGCATAAATATGTGGGGATGGAACATGATTGGAAGTCTCCTTGATTGTTTTTCATATTTAGATTGGGTAGAAGACTTAAAAATTTGGTATATGCAGTACAACTGAAGGTAATGACAAAAAAATTGTCTTAAAAAAAAAGTGATAATTTAGTATTAGTTCCGTAGAGCAAGGCTTCCCTTGATAGAACTAGCAAGTAAACAGTCTTCTTACATTGTCTTGGTGAATAGGTCCGACAAACTAGGGCTTCTCATTTCCTATAAAAAAAAAAAAAAACTAATATCCTAATAGAAATATGGAGAAGTTAAATTCCAGAACCAGTGCGCAATGTACAAGTCTTCGTGAAAAAATATAATGCAGAGAGGCAACCACCAGTAAATCAGGTAGTTATAATGTTACACTAAAAAACATCAACTGCAAATATTAATATATCATATGGTCCACTGAAAGTCTATATTTCAGAAAATGAACTCTTCAAGACTACAATTGAGAGTACAAAAGAAATTCCCAAAAGATTACCTGATCACCTAAGATCCCGAGCAAAGTCTCCCTCTCATTTTCCATCATATCGTACGAATTACCAAATTGAAGAGAAGCCCTGGCAAGGGGGTAACTACTACCAAGATTCTCGGTCCCATATCTACAGCAGTCCCTAGCCAACTTCCTCACTGAATTCCAGAGAACAAAATATTAACTGAGGCATAAACCAAAATAACAGAGGTGCAAAAGGCCAAAACTTACCTATGTCCATCTGCTTGGAGCTAACAGAGATGAGCCCTTCAATAGCACGAACAATATGCCGCTGAAAATGCTGTGAAAACACATTGGTTAAAACCATGACAAAACAAAGCTTCTGACCCAATTAGATCAGATACATGGAGAGAAAATATAAAAGCACCTTAGCTGTCTTTGTAGAAGTGTATAACTTTTGAAGCTGCTGGTGACATTCAATTTCAGATTCATCCGTCATGAGCGGTTCATTGCTAATTTGACCCAACTGTCTGAGTATGGCCTGCAAAACAACATCATGATAGAAGACCAAAAGTCAAACGAGTAAAACCACTAGATTGACAAAAAAAAAAAAACACAAATATAACCAATAGAAACAGACAGACAGAGTCAATACTTTTCGTTGAAGGTTCCCATCCCCATTAGTTCAAATCAAACCAAAAGTAAAAATGAACGTTTTTATATATAATCCTACGATTAAAAATTCAAGCTGAAATTGAAAAAAAAAAATGATATTGTGATCCCATGCCGACAGAAGCAGTTATAACCTAAAGAGTAAATAGTAACACCACTCAATTGAGAAGCACCCCACGGAAAAAAAAAAATCCACTTTCATCTAAAAGAAGAATAGGAATGATGACCTGTTGTTGCCTGGCAACTTGCTCCCTTAATTTGCTTGCTTGCTTCCTTATAGCATCCATTCTTCACTCTTTGTTCACAATAAAAACAGTTACTTTGTTGCAGTCCAAACAGAAAATTATTAGAAAAAGAGAGTTTTGTACTGGGTTTCAATTTTTTCATGAAGGGGTGGAAAGAAGAGGATTGATTGCTACCTGTAACTACCTGGCTAGCTGGGTCTTTCTAGAGAGAGAGAAAGAAAGGTTTCCACTTTGGAACAGTTATGAGAAGAGAAGCGAACAGATAAATTATGATAATAATTGAATGAATGAGTTATGAGAATGAAAGTGAAAACTGAATCATGTCGTAAGAGAAAGGGGAGAGAGAATCTTGGGGAAAAAGGCGTTCTTTTTAGACTTTCACCGCACCGCACAAGGACACGCGCTTGACCTTTCTACAAAATGCCTCGCTAAAAAGATAGAAATATTTCTATTTAAAAAAAAATTATAGAAATGAAACATAAAAAAAATAAGACGATGTTTTTGTTTATAACTAAAATTAAAAATAATTTATTTAGTTAAACGATCTCAATATATTACACTTCTAGTATAAGTGATTTTTTTTTCTACGAAAAACAATTACACTATTAGAATTACATATAAAAAGATAGTATTTAGCACATGCATATAGTAAAAAGAATATATATACATACCTACCTTTTTCTCTGGACAGTACACAAAAAATTAAAAGATTGGAGATTAAAAATATTTATATATATAATAAAAATAAAATAACTTTTTTTTATTTACATCTGAAAAAAAAAATCTCTAGTTAAACCAACTCTGGATATTATTACACTTTAAACAGTTCTACGAATATATAAATTATTTTCCTAGTGACATATGGGTTAAATGTATTAAAACTATTTCTTGAAAAATGACAATAGGATAAAATATGTGTTTAATGTTAAATTTTTCTAAGATGTAATGAAATTTAAATAATTAAGTTTTTTATTTATATTCATTTAATTTAATTAATAAAAAAACCAAACTTCACCTAGTTATTATATTAATAAACTTATCTTATATTCAATGTCTAATAAATTGACTTTTTAAATTTCCTAAAATTACAATCATTTGTTTATTTTCTGTTATATACTTTTTTTTCTACTGATGTTTTTATTAGGAAGTACTTCTTACTTTAGTTCTCTAAAAGTTTGAGAGGGAAAAAAACGACTCAATATATATAGTTTACTTACACATAACACGAAGAAAGTTTTATTTTTATCACAGTTTTTATGGTATTATGTAATAAGAATTTTCAGAATTTTTTTCTCATCTTTCTCAAGACAAGAGGCAAAATAATGTTTTAAAAATTAAGAGAAATATTTTATTATAATATTCAAATTTCATTATAATTACCGTGTTTTTTTTTATTATTATTATTATAAATAAGATAATGCATACTTTTAAAGATGAAATAAATATTTGTAATTATATTTATTTGTTCATTAACAAGTTAAAACTAACTCGTATGATATTATTTATTCAACTTTAATTCTACTTCGTCTTTTTCTCTTCACTTATGTCATGTTTAATTTAATGCTGTGGAAAAACATTTCAATTTTTTAATTTTTATTTTATGTTTTAAAGTTATTTTATTTTAGAAATAACTACACTCTAGAGGTATATTACATCTCTAGTACATGTATAACGGCTCCCTAAATATTTATAAACTTGCACCAAAATGGTATATAATACAACATTCAGACAACAATATATTCTTAGTGTTAAAAAAATCAACGGCACTTTAATATAATTTCATTTAAATATAATTTTTGAAATTTTTACCAAAATACACATAATGGCTATAACTTGTATACTAAGAATTAATTTTGCCTATCATCTTACACGTTAAATGAAGATTAGTTCAGATAGCAAATACTATCATGTGGATGAAGTTACGTTTTGCTTTAAGGATATTTTGGATGCGTAAGAGATTCTCGATTTAGTTCTTAAAAAAATTATAAAAAAAAACGATATATATATATATATATACTAATCCAAGAATGTATAAAAAAAATCTCCATATTTAATTGTTATATTTTGTAAAACTAATATTCACATATCATTTTTATATATATATATATTCAGATCCTAACATTTTTCATATTTTCAAAGACTAAATGGAGATCATCTCATTTAATTAGCAAGTTGATTTTGCTTTAATTAATAGAAAGTAAACTTCGGCAGCACAAAGCAGTAAGTATTAAGAGTTGAAGACGACGACAAACACTAAACCACGGATAGATAAAAAAAAATATACAACGAAAAACCTGAACAGTGAAAACAACACTCATTAGATGAATTCTTTTATGGAACATATATTACAAAAACAAATAACAATAATCACTTGCCAGGGTGAACCATCTGAACTTGTACACATTCATATACACTTAAATTGGAGTGAACAAATAGTAACAAAGATTACAATGCTAGCAAAGAGAAGGGGGAAAAAATAGAAAGGAAAAAGAAAAGCACAAGGGGGAAGACTGGAACTGCGACCGATCGACACATGCAACTCCATTCACGAAGACTTAGAAACGTTTGAACATGTCCAATGATGACATGTGACGGGGAAACACAACTTCTATCATGAAGTGGTGTAATGAAGGACCTCTTTCAAGTTTCATTACATTCCAGTTAAGAATTAATGCAACTGAAATGAAACAACTAACATTGCAGACTCTGAGCATCTTTCATCGCTTCTGACTTTCAAGTAATTTGCAGTGACAAGGATACAAACACAACATCATACTTTTAGTTTGTCTTTGCAAGCTTTCTAATCGGAGTTGGAGTCATAGAAGTCACTAGGGCATGGAGTTACGACCTCTGATTCGAACAATTGCACTACTCGGTGCATAGTGGGTCGATCTTCTGGATTTGAGGAGACACACTGAATAGCCACAGAGAGCAAGGCATCAAGGCTCTCCACTTGCACCCCTTCACATAGTGGGTCAACAATCTCCCTCGGCCTATTTTCGGTAATTAGAAAATTCAACTGCAACGATACCAAATATGTGGAGTTAGAATGCTGATTCATTACACTGGAATAGCAACTAAGACATGATTGGCTTGCTTAATAATCACATAACAACCACACAAGGTGGTATACTCTCAAAGTTAACAAAAGATACCTCAATTGGTGTTTATATAAAAAAAAAAAAAATTAAAATATCTATTTATTCAAAAAAGAAAAAACTAGAAAGAGATCAAGAATTGTACATAAATCTGATATTTAGGGGAACGACATACCCAACCAACAATATTGAGACCTTTTTCAATGAATGCTGCATCTGTTGGCCGCTTTCCGCTCAGCACTTCAAGTGTCAGCACACCAAAGCTATACACATCAGACTTCTCAGTTGCTCTGCCACTTTGCATATACTCTGCCATGAAATAACAGAAGTTTGGTCAGACAATGGAGTTAAATGCAAAACTAAGTCTAAAAATATCTAAATATTAGCATGCCCCAAACATACTAGTGTTTTAAATGTCAACAAATTGTGAAGCTCAACGCATCTGCTGAGTTGATCATTAGCAGCTACTTTACTTTGTATTAAGAAAAATGAATAAAGGCACTAAAATATATTCACTCATTTTCCTCATGTTTCATTTGGTTGGTTTCGTAAAACATTGGCCCACTCACTCTCTAATGCATCTCTATTTGCTTATAATTTATAGTTTGTTTTCTACATATTTTCAGTGCATTAGACATTTATCCTTAGTAATAAGTATATTTTTATCTAATTAGTTCATATTACAGCTCTTTCGTTTATTTTGGACGAAGGAACAAGGAATTTCAACTTTTGGATCAGATGAAGGCTAATTGGGATTGAATGGAGGATGGAAATAAGAAGCTAGAGATTACATCTCTCAGTGGAATGCACAAAACTTGTGGAGCCCCAAGGATTAATCAAGATGTTATAATGATGTTTTTGGCCCTCTTTTAGGAACTCATTTTTATTATATTTTGGGCTTCCTTTATGACTCTTTTGCTTTTATTGTATCTTAAGCCCAATTTAGAAACCCTTCTTATTAAAGGGTTTAGTAACTCTTAAAAGGAGACTTTTGCCACTCTAGCAACGGCTAGGGTTTTTTTCCCGTGTCTTATCTTTCTCTTCTATGTTTTTCTTGTGCTCTCATATCTCATGAGGAACTGAATGTTTTTTCTAGTTCAAGGTCAAGTTCTTCAAGAACTGTGAGATCTAAGAGTTCTTTATTCCTTTTTCTTCTATTGGCATTTATATTTGTACTGTTTTAAATACCAAATTAGGGCATGTTTGGACAAGTTTCTCCATAAGCACTTCTAGAAGAGAAAAATTGAAACTAATTTCTCCAAAAGATAAAATTAGCTCATGGATAAGCTAATCTGTAAAAAATTTCTCATATAATTTTTCTAATTTTTTGTTTTTAACTTAACTAAATTCATTTATTCTTTTTTCTTTTTTTTCTTATAGGGACTTGTAGAGAGAGAAGCTCATCTAAACAGACTCTAACTATTTTGTTAGTTATGCAAAAAGGGCTCTTTGTCTAATTAATAATACAATAATATAAATTAGGACAATGGGTCCATAATAATGTCACTTAAATAAACAGAACTTGTGCATTTGTTGCCCAGAATGAGTCACATTAGGAATTAATGATATTGGTAACTTAAATCCTAAGATCTTGTTCAGGGTTGTCTACTGGTAAAGGAAATAAACACTGAGCTTCTTTTGGCTATCGAGAAAGTAAGAAGAGATTGGTTATTGTAGATTTTTAATTACTATAACAAATTTTCGCAAGGGAAAAGTTACATCCTTGAATCAGTGATCAGTCAGAAGAACAAAAGATAAGATCAATCCTTCATTTATTGCTTATTAATCACATAAAATAAGTATGCTTTACTGGTTTCTATCAATTCAACCCTACTCACTATATTATTCAAATTATTTTTCTAAAAAGAGTAGGAACTAAATTTGTTGGTTTGACATTCATCATTCACTCTAATGCCAGAGGAAAGATTTTACCACTATTGCATTTACTCATAAAACCCATCAAGTAGAGTTTCGCATGCATGTACTACAGAAAGATATTTCATGTGAATTATCATGTTATCTGAACTGGCTAACTATCTTTGAACAAATGGTAGACATGAAAACAAGAGATAACAGAGTAAACATCCATGCAGTTTAAGACCACCTAGTTATACACACATACCCTCAACAACAAAAGAACTACATTAATAGTTCCAATGCAAAATACCACCAGTCATGCCCCAGTGGTGATGAAACATTTACATTGCTTACCTGGAGCTAGATAACCAAATGTTCCGGCAACAATAGTGGTGATGTGAGATTCTTCATCCTCCAGCAGTTTTGCAAGTCCAAAATCAGATACTCGAGCATCCAAGTTTCCATCAAGTAAAATGTTGCTGGATTTTATGTCTCGGTGTATAATCCTAGGGGAACAATCATGGTGCAAGTAGGCAAGCCCTTTTGCAGCTCCCATGATTATATTCAAGCGTGAATCCCAGTCTAGTTGCTCAGCTCTTTCTGTGTGATGCATCAGAAACATCATTATCCCATCAAAATGATTAAATCAAAGATACAATAAAGTGAAAATATAAATTCAAAATGATTTAATAAAAAATAAAATAAAGTGAAAATGTAAATTCAAAATGAAAACTCGTTTTATAATAAGATTATAAATAATATTGATACATAACGTAACATCCACCTCAACCATACTAGAAGCTGTATGACACTTCAGCAATGAACAAAGTTTTAGGAATATATCCAACTGAAAAAACTAAAAAGAATAATGTGCTGTATTGGCAACCAAGGAGAGCCACATTGAACAAGATTTAAGACCTTCAAGAAATACTCCTTTCAAACTCAAATAAGTAAAATACATAATTTCACATTAATTAAAGCAATTACTAAGTTCTTTTTTATTTTCTTGATTTCTTATAATAAAAGAACTACATATTCTAAACTTCCCTTAATCAAATTACTTTTGATGATGATGCTCACATTTGAACGAACTTAGGAGTATATTTGGAATAATGACATTAAATAGGGTTGAATTAGCTTATAATTGCTTATATTTTTAGTCCACCAAACTTTTTTATTATAATAACCTAATCCTGATGCATCAAAGTGTTTCTATATAAAATAATTATCAGTTGAGTAGGTATTTCACATCCAAAAAGCATTGAAGATTCACACGAGTTGCTTCAGTGAAACAAAGGTTGCTATACTTGGTTAATAATGAATGCTCACAACAAATTAAACAGATATTTATGTTTTGACCTATTTTGAGTGAGTTACTAAGGGTTCTTAAGAGATCAGTTGGTTTAAAAGAAGAACCAAATGATAACTACCACATGAAGCATTTACTCTGTAATTACCACATGCCCACCATAAAAGGTCCATTTCTACCCAAAAATACAGCTGTTTCAATCATTGACATGATGATCAAAATATAGTAAGTATTCAATTAGAGATATTACCATGAAGGGCTTCATCCAGACTACCACCTGGTAGGTAATCATATATTAACAACTTTGACGTTGGTGAATTGCAATATCCTCGTAAGTTCACTAGATAACGATGTTTGATGCTACCAAGAATTTCAAGCTCCCTCTCAAAAAATCGATCAAACCCTTCATTCAACTTTACAATCCTTTTCAAAGCAAAGACATTCCCATCATCCATTGCAAGCTTGTAAACAGTTCCAAATCCCCCAATCCCTATTATGTGTTCTTCATTCAAAGTCTCTAGTTTCTTAATGATGTCTTTAGAAGAATATGGTAGGTCTCCATGAAACATCACAATCGATGCACCTATAAGACATTTGGACATTTTAATTTTTAGAGGTTTTCCAAAGCATATAAAGTAGAAAAAAAGAAACTCAAATGGGCCTATATGCAAGCTATAGAGAGATAAGGGGTAAACCTGCACCAACATCCATTGCCAGGCTTATGCTGTCGTTTTTACCAAACTTCTTGTAAAGAAAACAACCCCAGAAGCACATAAGTGCGACCAAAAGTAGAGCTCCGACAGTTGCTGATGCACTGATGAGCAGCCGGCCAGAATATTTCTTCTTTCCCATTTGATTTTGATCTATAAATAGTAAAATAATAAAAATCAAATGGTATTTTTGAAAATGTGATTAAATTGTCTGTATCATATACAGCAGAGTCAAAACCATTGTCGTGAAGACAAAATTGAGTTGGTAAATCCGTTTAGGGACGTGCCAACATATAAAAAATGAGACATAATGACCTGGGATTATGGAGTGTCTAAGTCCCGCATCAAATAGTACAGGATAGCCGGTGGAGTATTTAAATGCTCTGTTCTCTCCCCTAACCAGCTAGCTTTCATATTTTACTTAATAGGTGTCACATGACTCACATGAGTATCCCCTGGTATACAATTATTTTGTCCATGTTTGGATTAAAGTTTGTAAACTTAAATTTGAATCAAATTCATTTTGCAAACTAAGTTTGCAAAAGCACCTTGATATTGCTTCCAACTGAAACTTGGTTTCAAGACAAACAGGTACGCAAATATACTTTTGAGGAAAAGCCAACATACCACCAAATGTAGTTAACAGGACAAACACATATTGAATGAGACCAAACAGTAAACCAAACGTACTCTTTGCATCCTGTTTTTTTTATTCATCTTAACACTTGTTCATTACTACCTATGGAAAGGATTGTTGTAATTGTGTGTCATGGACACACGAGTATTCTTATTTACGATGAAGAATAGATATAGTAATGGTGAATAAAACTAATAACTAATAATAAGGATCATCTGCTAAGGGATTTGACTCCTCCAAAGTGAGGAGATGCACTTTAAAGGATAAAGTGTAATAACAACCATTGATTACAAATTTAAAATTATGATAGGATTAAATATATATTTAACAAATTCTAAAACTAATTAGAATCACAATAGTTGATTTTGTACTCAAAGGTTATTATTGCACTTTATCCTCTAAAGTGCATTCTCCTCACTTTAGAGGAGCCAAATCGTTTGCTAAGATATTTCCTGTTTAATGCAATCAAATCATATCTCTAACACTACCATTCCCTTTTTTTTGTGTTGTTTCGAAGCTGGCCAAATACTTCCATAGAATATAGCAGTACAATAAAACCTCCCATTGAGCTTGGTTGGCACTTTGGGGTTACAAATAATCCCCCATGCCTTTCTCTATTTTAGCCACCCAGCTTGTATACGCACTTGAAAAAAATTATATTAAAAGAACAATGCAACATTTAATGAAAGCTTGAGAAGGGATCAAATGAAGGATAAACACTAGATTCAAAAACACACAGTTTTACCTGAGGAAGTATATGGAGCATTGGCACCCGGTGAACCATCATCTTTACATGTTGAATTGATTTTAACTCCACACAAACCACGATTTCCAACAAAGCTGCAAGAAGGCATAATAAACTTGTCTCAATATTGAAAAATAGATTTAACACCTTAGAAATTGACGGTTATATTAGGAGAGTCTAGTATCATTGATCACAGAAGATAAAGATATAAACATTTAAAACATAATTATTGACAATATTGATGACAAGACTTAATATATCTATTAAAATACCAACTTGCATAAAAATATAGAAATAAAATTATCATAAATCTGGACAAAGTTAATACTGTCATAAATAATACTAATTTATGCCTACACACATCTGTGTGCACGAGTAACAAGTAACAGTTAGTGATTATAATGTTGAAATATGGGTGGATTCCAAAAATCAAATGTCATGCTTGAAGAAAAGATGCTGCAGGACTTTTTCTTTAATTATAGGATGGATATCTTATCATTCAAAAGTGCAGTAGAATTAAATATCTTGATACCTCATAAATACGTGATTGTATAAAATCAAGTCAAACCTTGAGTGTTTCAGAGAAAGGAAAAGAAAAGCACAATGTATACAAAATAGATGCATACCTTTAGTTTTTAACTATTTACAGGCAACCAAAGCCTAAATACAGAAATTTAATATCATTTGAGTAGCAAGGGAAAATAAAGCATTCACACTCAAACGTTTTCAAGGCAACGACATACAGATTAGAGAAATAAAAATCCGGAGATGAGAAGGGGGGTAGATAGCAAGGGAGAAAAACAAATATCCATTGAATAAGTCATTTGATTCCAGAGCAGGAACATGCTTTTAATACACAGCACACTAGTATATAAAATATAAGAAGACAAATAATAATGCACCTTAGATTTGACCTGAAATTTTCATGATCCAATCTCAAACTACATGTTCCCTTCATCTTAATTTCTTATACTTTCAAGTAAATCTGCTCAGCAATCTAAATAGTAGATTCCAAATCCTTATTAGGTATGAAAGTCCTTTCACGTGTATTGTCTCTTAAAAATATACTAATGTTTTCGATCAGAACTCAGATGATGTTATTGACATTCTCAATTACCTATTCACATTCCCCACAAACAATTCAAAATTGTAATTTCCTATGTTGTGTTGACCTGAACAGTTTCTACTCAATTTGGTCAAATAAAATTTATATTACCACATTTATCTTTTCACTCTCCTAGTTAATCATAATTGTTCTAATCTATCTGGAACATTAAAATCTTCAGTCTTCCGAAGAAAAAAATAAATATATAATGCAAAAATCCACAGCTTATATGACGAAATATGCCTTAATATTATTAAACTAGCGAGGTTTAGAAATACAAGGTCATCATACAATTCTAGCTATTTGATGTTCCTAATAAACAGAAAAACACTGAGCAATTTCTCAAAATTTAAATGGGTAACTACTAACTAGCAAGCTAACCAGGCAAAAAAGATAAAAATATTAAATTTAAATATTATAAATACCAAAAATCATAATCTGAATACACGAATAACTAATATAGTGGAGTACTATTATAGTAGAGTTTTACTCTGTATTTTGCTCATGTGTAATCACTGTACCATTACAGTTGTCAGCTAGTTTCTGTTAGTTGTGTGACAGCTGTCTTTATAACTAACTCTTAGTAACAGTCAGTAAGTCTTTGTCTTTACTTATACAGCTGTGTTATATATATATATATATATATATATATATATATATATATATACAGCTGATCTATCATCTTTGTATCTTGATTAATTCATTTTTCTAAAAAAACAAAATATATATTTTAAATTCTCTCTGGAATCTAATAAGTGTAAATAGATTAATATATATTTAATAAAAAACCAACTTTAATAAAAGAAAAAATCAACACTTAGCCTACTGAACATCTATAAACAGGAAAGGTCATACTTACGAGCTTCCAGTAAAGTTGCCAAGGACACCATCAGAAGGTATAGGTCCGACCAGAAAATTGGTTGATACATTGCTTCAAAAACATGGCCACGATAGTAAAAGATTCATTTTTGCGTAAAATAACAAATTAATAAAATGTGCATAGAAACAGTAGTATCACAGGAGAAAAGAAAGGCCTACATACAAATTTTTGAGATTAAACAACTTCCCAAGTGATGCAGGAATATTCCCACTGAGGGAATTGCTTGATATATCCCTGTAAAATAGGGAGATATATTGATGAATATGGTCTATGTATGACTGTAACACAAAAACTAATGAATTTGAATTTGTTTACAAAAGGAAGAACTAGAAAATGCACCAAATAACTAGAAAAAGATAATCATCTCAAATATTACTTTGTCTCTCCATTTTTTCTTTCAGTGCCCACTCTTAGGCCATTTATTCTTCAAATGAAAACAGAATGAATGCACACTACAATACGCCTAAATAATTAAATACAAACAACAAAGAGAAGCATAAACTAAAAGAAACTCACAAATTTACGAGCTGTGAAAGGTTTCCTATTTCACTTGGAATGATTCCACTAAGGTAATTACCCTGTAAAAATCTGCACAACCGAAAATTAGTAGTTAGTACCAAGTAGTAATAGAACAATTGGGTTTACCAAATTCAAACATCAACATAAAGAATAAGATCTAGTAGTAATATAACTTCTATTAGAGAAATTTGTTTCAAAAAAGGAAGTTATGTGAATGAGACAATAACTATAAATGTCGTACTAGAAGTTAATATGAAAATACAATAACTCAGCATAAATGCAATATGATTGTGAACACACCCAAGCACCAAAAATACATATATGTAACAATCAATCTGAACAAGTATCTGCCTTATTTTAATGTTAACAACAGTGAGATCATTTTGTAAATTTGCATTATCTTAATATCACCAACAACTAAGATAAAAGCAGATAATTTCTAAAGTAAACAAGAAAAAGATGGAACAAAACTAGGCAAATGAACCAAACAAAATACATACATTCCCTCCAATGCAGTGCAATTTCCCAATTCTGACGGAATTGTCCCATAGAAGTTGTTGTTATGAAGCGCACTACCACAGATAGATTAAATTAGCAACTACATAAAAGTGTCTAATAACGTAAAAGAAAATATATATGAAATCAAAATTTTAAAATACATACAGAACCCTCATATTCTCAAGCTTCCCAAGGTCAGGTGATATAGACCCACTTAACTTATGGTGAGATAGACTCCTAGAATATCACCAAGGAAAGCAAAGTTAGATAAATAATTCCATTCAAAACTGCCAGCAAGTCTCCTGTCATGTACTGATGAAGTATTGTTTTGTAAAATTAAGAAGTTTTGTAACCAAAATATTCCACAGATACAATCTTTCAAGGAAATTTACACCTAAAAACAGTGCATTCTATCTTGCTTTAATCAAACCTTACCCCAATACATAACCCATAAAAGAAAGAGCGATTAACTCCCTAGGTTGGAAGAATTTAAGTCTAGCATTGAGCTATGACAAGATCGTAGACTGAACCTAAACCAATAAGAAACCGAAAATGGCCTATCGATTTATGAGAAACTGTGAGAAATCAAATAGTATTTTAGGAAAGAATAAATAAGGAAATTTGTATATTTCCTTGTAATCTGTACAGATTTGAATAATTAGGAACAATCCCATAAATCAAGGGATCCTAGCATAAAATAGAGTTATTATATTTCCTAAAATAGTTTAGGTCTCTTGTATATATCTTATATCATCTCTTTGTATTGATATAATAAAAATCATATTTCAGTTAATCTATTTTTCTCGAGATGGTATCGAGCTTCCGATCTAGGAAGCTCTGTCTGCGCTCGATAAACCCTAAGACGGCAGCCTGCATTGCTCGCTGCATTTTTCTTAACCCTAAGACGGCAGCCTACATTGCTGCTCGCATTTTTCTTAATCCTAAGACGACGACCTGCATTGCTGCTGCATTTTTCATAATCCTAAGACGACGACCTGCATTGTTGTTGCATCGCACCTTTTTGCTATAATGTCAAGGGAAGAGGAGATAGAAAGGGTGAAAACCATTCTTAGTAAGCTGGAAAAACCTACGGGTATGTGTTCTTTGGCATACTCGGGTAAGTTTCCACCTTCTTTTGGATTAAATGTCTCAGATACGCCTTTTAACCATTATTGGATATTGGACTCTGGAGCCACAGATCACATGACACCATTAGCCAAACACTTCTCCACATATTCCCCATGTCCCAAGCAACAAGAAAATTGCCACGACGAGATGGAACCCTTATAACTCAGTACTGGTCAAGGAAATATCCAAATCAATCCTTTAATAACCTTAAAAGACGTTCTCCATGTCCCAAAGTTGTCCACGAACCTAGTGTCTATAAAAAAACTTATAAAGGATTTGTCATGTAAAGTTGTTTTTTCCAACGATCATTGTGTATTTCGGGATAAGGATTCGGGGAGGATGATTGGACATGCTAGAGAATGGAATGGCCTTTATTATCTCGAAGATCCAAGTCTCGCCCAAGCAAGAATAGAATCTCTCACTCCTTCATATCTCGAATCATTGATGACCAACAGAGAAAAAATCATGCTTTATCATTATCGGTTGGGACATCCCTCTTTTGGAGTGATCAAAATTATATTTCCCTCTCTGTTTACCAAGTTAGATGTTGAGAGTCTTCATTGTGAGGTGTGTGAACTTGCTAAGCACAAACGTATATCTTTTCCAATAAGTAATAGAATTAGCAATTTCCCTTTTTATCTTGTTCATACTGATGTATGGGGACCTTCTAATATTCCAAATGTGTCTGGTACTCGATGGTTTGTCACCTTTATAGATGACTGTACAAGGGTCACTTGGGTTTTCCTACTTAAACAAAAATCAGAAGTCAGTTCTGTCTTCCTAAACTTCCACTCCATGATAAAAAATCAGTTTGGTGTTAATATTAAGAGGCTTAGGTCAGATAATGCCAAAGATTACTTCAATCATGTCCTTAATTCTTTTTGTCAAAAAGAAGGTATAATTCATGAGTCATCTTGTGTCAAAACACCACAACAGAATGGGGTCGCAGAGAGGAAAAATGGACATCTATTAAATCAGACTCGGGCATTGTTGTTCCAAAAAAGTGTCCCAAAAAATTTCTGGGGGGAAGCTGTCCTTACAGCAACATACCTTATCAATAGACTACCCTCTAGAGTCTTAGGATCAAAAAGCCCTATGGAAGTTTTGTCGTCTTTCTATCCAAACTTGTCTACTACAAATAATCTTAAACCAAGAGTTTTTGGGTGCATCTCATATGTCCATATTCATAGTACAGACTGGGGAAAACTTGATCCTAGAGCCTTAAAGTGTGTCTTTGTTGGTTACTCACCCACTCAAAAAGGGTATAAATGCTACCACCCCCCATCCAAAAAATTCTCGTGTCTAGGGATGTTACCTTCAATGAACAAGAGGGCTATTTCCATCAACCTTATCTTCAAGGGGAGAGTTTCAGGGAAGATAAGGAAAGTAGTGATTCTGGTTTTCCCATTCTTCCAGACATGACATTTGAACCTAAACGAAATCATATTGAAAGTAGTAATTATGGTTTTCCCATTCTTCCAGACTTGATATTTGAACCTAAACAAGATCAAATTGAAGATCAAATTGAAGTTGTAACAAATGAAACAAGTCAAGGAATTGGTCAAGCAAAGGAAGTTGGTCAAGAAAGTGAAATTAATTGTGAAGCCGATCAAGAAGATGTTGAAACTGGAAAATTTGGCAAGAAGCTCGGTGTACTCAAGGAAGACTAAGGCCATTCCAGGATCAAGCCATGTTCAAGAATCCAACTCGACTCCACAAAAAGAGGTAACAATTTTTTCTCCAGTTGTGCAGGTTGAAATTGAAACCCAAAATGATCCTGACCTCCCAATTGCCATTAGAAAAGGAACAAGAAAATGCACCAAACAACCACTCTACCCTCTCTCAAATTACCTGTCCTTTAAAAATTTCTCTCCTACCCATAAAACATTTCTAGTAAACCTAAACACTGTACTTCTACCTAATACCCTATCTCGAGGCATTGTCTCGACGTAAAATGGAGGCAAGCCATGGATGAAGAGATGGAGGCATTGGAGAAGAACAACACTTGGGAGTTAGTCACCTTACCAATAGGAAAGAGGCCAGTTGGATGTAAATGGGTCTATACAGTGAAATACAAGGTCGATGGATCAATTGAGAGATATAAGGCAAGACTAGTTGCCAAAGGGTTCACCCAAACCTATGGAGTTGATTATTTGGAGACCTTTGCTCCGGTTGCCAAAATGAACACAGTTAGGGTGATATTGTCCCTTGCTGCCAATTATGGTTGGAACTTGGAACAATTTGATGTTAAGAATGCTTTCCTACATGGAGACCTTGAAGAAGAAATCTATATGGAGATACCTCCGGGATATGGTAAAGATGTTGCTGCCAACACTGGTTGCAAGTTGAAAAAGGCATTATATGGGTTAAAACAGTCCCCGTGCATGGTTTGGCAGGGTTTACTAAAGTTATGACAAGTCTGGGTTACAAACAAAGCCAAGGGGACCATACTTTGTTTTTTAAACATTCCAAGTCGGGGGAGTAACAATATTATTGGTGTATGTGGATGACATAATATTAACTGGAGATAATAAAGAAGAACAACAATTATTGAGTCAATGCTTAGGCAAGGAATTTGAGATCAAGACTTTGGGAAAACTAAAATATTTTTTGGGAATTGAAGTTGCCCACTCCGAGAAAGGGATATTTATATCTCAGCAGAAATACATCACTGATTTGCTCAAGGAAACTGGCAAGGCAGCTTGCAAACCTGCTAGTACCCCATTAGAACCAAACCTAAAGCTTGGAAATGCAGAAGAAGATGTTGCTGTTGAAAAAGATATGTACCAAAGATTAGTGGGCAGACTTATATATTTGTCACATACCAAGCCGGATATTGCCTATGCAGTGAGTTTAATTAGCCAATTTATGCATAGCCCAAAGGAGACCCATTTACAAGCTGCCCACGGAATTTTACAGTACCTTAAAGGAACTCCAGGAAGAGGGATTCTATTCAAAAGGAATGGTAATGTGAAGCTTGAAGCCTATACTCGATGCCGATTATGCAGGGTCAATTGTGGATAGGAGGTCAACTACAGGATATTGCACCTTTCTTGGAGGAAATCTTGTGACTTGGAGAAGCAAAAAGCAGGGTGTAGTGGCTCGGTCCAGGTCTTGAAGCGGAATTCCGAGCCATGGCACAAGGTATATGTGAGTTGCTATGGCTTAAAATCATCTTAGAAGACTTGAGGATAAAGTGGGAAGAACCTATGAAGCTCTATTGTGATAATAAGTCAGCAATCAGTATAGCCCACAACCCAAGTGCAGCATGATAGAACAAAGCATATTGAAGTAGACAGACACTTCATCAAAGAAAAGCTTGATAGTGGCTTGATATGCACTCCATATGTGTCCTCTCAAGACCAAATTGCAGACATTCTTACCAAGGGATTGGGCTGCCATAATTTTGAGAAGATTATATCCAAGCTGGGAATGGAAAACATTTATTCACCAGCTTGAGGGGGAGTGTGAGAAATCAAATAGTATTTTAGGAAAGAATAAATAAGGAAATTTGTATATTTCCTTGTAATCTGTACAGATTTGAATAATTAGGAACAATCCCATAAATCAAGGGATCCTAGCATAAAATAGAGTTATTATATTTCCTAAAATAGTTTAGGTCTCTTGTATATATCTTATATCATCTCTTTGTATTGATATAATAAAAATCATATTTCAGTTAATCTATTTTTCTCAGAGAAACATACAATCAGCACTAGCTGTAAGAACTAGGCAATAGATTTGTATACAAAATCTATAGTCTCAGAATAATGTTCCAGATCTGGTAAAAAAATCCAAGTAAGCTCAGTATAAGTCTGGTTTTCTGTACTTATAAATCTGTATTTACACACTGGTCACAAACACTTCCATCTCTAGAAAATAATGTCTTACAGTAAGTCTAGACAGAAATGTCTAATGATCATTATAAAAACTCACAGATGTGTTACTCTTTTGGTTTTCGGATCACATTTCACTCCTTTCCATTTACATGGGTCAGGATCCTCTGGCCTCCACTGTAATAGGATTCCATCAGAATTAACAACTGCTGTCCTAAAGCTGAGAAGCACCTCACCTACAGATGTGATTGAATATAATATGATATCAAAATGATTATGCATAAGTCAAATGAAACTAGTTAAATTCCAATTTCAATCTAGTCGCGTTAGAAAACAAATGCATGCAACAAGGCGGTAAAGATCAACAATGGATTTCGTGAAATTTGGTTTATGTTCAATAAAATTATCATGGAAGCAAAATTAAAAATGACAATAATTAACAATAACCTCAAAAGTAATAAGTTAAATAGATGTGTAAGAAATAAATATGATCATACCATCGGGAGTGATTGCTTCGTTCTTATTGATTACAACATGTATCAGCAGAATAAAAAGAAGCCACGGCCATTGCCATTTCAAAAGACAAATGTCCATAGCAACACTGCTCAGTAATAATATAGCTAACAGAAGTCATATGAGAAAAATGTCTCGCTCCACCATGTAGTTATCTACTTGGCATGAGCATCAACACGCAGAAAAATGAAGTAGAAACCGCCAGCAACTGAAAAAAAGTAAAAAGTTAACCGTGATGAAATTACTGCAGACAGGAATCATCATTGTTATTTATTACAAACTTATCAATGGAGATTACAGCAGACAAGAAAATAAATTATTTCGGCATTATGCACATCAATTGTTTACGCTACACCTAAAAACACTTCTCAACCAGTATACATATAACCACACACCGAATAAATAAATTAAATAAATAAAAACACTAATTAAGTTTTCTATATTTGAATTTATAATGCATATGAACAAAACCAGCAATAAACACTTCAAGCATAGCAAATGCTTCAACCTGAGTTCAAAAATTTCAGCTCAAGCGCGCAAGCACGGTTCTATCTAGAGAAAAAATAAACGAAAAGTAGCACCGAAAGCACACTAGGTAAAAGAAAAGCATCGCAGTTCGCTTACAGTACTAGAGTGAAGAGAAACTCAATTCCGCATTTAAAATCAAAAGCAATGAATGCGCAAACATCGAATCTAAGCTATTTATCCGCCACGAAACAGCTATTGCTAAATTGTGGCGTTTTTCACTTTTCAGAAAATCAAGGAAACTGAATAGAGAGAGGTTACACACACTGACCTGGATTTCGATCTGAGATGCACAAAAGTGTGAGAGAAATGCAAGTTGAGCTGTAAAGGAATAACAAACAAAAAACGTTAAAATAAAACCCTCTCTCTCTCGTGTTCGTTGTGTCGTGTAAGCCTGAGATTTCTGTGATTCGAAAGAGCGAGTGTGCGAGAGTGTGTGAGTGCGCGTGTGAGTGAGAGAGTGAAGAGATGCTGCTTGCTATGCTATGTTATACTCTCGCTCGAGAATTAAAGGAGAACCAATAAGAGCAAGGCTGTTCCGCACGTGACAACATCGACACACCACACGTGCGACCGACGCCTTTGCTCTAGAATCCCGTCACAGCTCATAGCACACAAAAATGACGCCTGTAATATATTACAACACTTATCCCTTATTTTTTTCAGACATTAATTTTCAAATGTGTCATTTTATTAATTATAAAATTGTCAGAGTAACTTAATATACATAATTATTTTTTCCACATTTAATTTTTTAAATAAAAATTTAGAAAGGAAAAACAATGATTGAGTGTATGAATATTCTAAATTTATTCTTTTTATTTTTCCTCTTATTGTTTTGTTATGTAATGAGACACTGTAAAAGAAAAATGAATTAATTAATGTAAACTGGATAAGATGTATTAATGTTAAAATCTAAGATGATGGATTATGGTATTTACAACATGAACCAATTACAAACGGACACAAACATAAATTTATTAATTAATATAATAATTAACTTAAAAATCATATTTATCATAAATTTTAATTGATTGGTGATAGAATATTTATATTAATAGTACATAAAATTATACTCTTTAATTTTTAAAATATTTGCATTTAAAATATTTTTTATCCAGGTCTCGGGCATTTATCTTTGCAAGGAAGATGGCAGTAACACTTTTAAAATTATTTTAGAGCATCTAAACACACCTTTAAAAAAATTTATATATTTATAACACTTCGTTGGATAAAAACAATCGAACTCCTATTTTTGTTGAGAAAAGATATTTTTTTAGTCATAAAGACTAATTGTTCCAATATAATAAAAAGGGAAAAAATAAATGTTCTGAAAAAATTAACGTTTTTTTTTATAACTTGTGATAAACTACAATGACATTTATAATAAAAGTAATTTTGAAACAATTATAAAATTAACAGATAAATTTATTGTTTTTAATTAATTTAACTAATCTTTTTATAAATAAAGACAAGTGACAGTTAAAATTTCACCAAATTATAACGGGTGCCAAACATTAATTATTCAAATGTTATTATTAAAACAACTAACAGTTCACAAACATTGCAACTAACCATCTCCAATTCAGCATATATACAATTTAATAGTGTAGTTTTGCATTAATTGTAGTATTAATTATTTTATTTTTTGTTTGTCCTCAAGTAAATTATTTCAATCTTAGTAAATATTGAATATCTTTGTAATAATTGAAGATAAATTTAATGCTTTATTAGAATATTGAGATTATTCTTGTAAATCTTTATTAAAGGATACATATATATGTAATATCATTTTTAGTTTATGTATGAAAATGTTAAATAATATATAATTTGGGATGGAGAAAGTAGTTTATTTACGAATAAAAGCCATGATAGTATTTTATTTAGGTAAACATATTCTTAAACATGCAAATAAAACATGAATACTTAAAAGGAAAGAAGTTTCATTGTTCATTAAGCAACAAAAACACATGTGGTCATTGCCAAAAAATAAAACATTCATAGCCAAAACTATGAAGGACCAAAATCGTAAACCTGTCATGTCATGACTCATGATGAATCTCATAGCGTCTCCGCAACATTTTAGTACCTTAAAATATTTGAAAAAAGTTATACGCTTGTGTTCAAGTGATTCTTGGAGACACCATTGGTCTCAATGGATTCTTCATGACTATGGTGAAGGCCTGCTTCTCAGTCATGTCAACCTCACACCCATCTCCAAGTGTCCATTTGAAATCCCTCACCATATTGGCCACAAAGTACTCAAGGTGAAGGGTTGCCATACTAATTGCTGGACACACTCTCCTCCCTGCACCAAAAGGCATCATTTTAATCTCTCTAGTCCCTTTCAAGTCAAACTTAGCATCTCCACCATGACTCAAAAACCTCTCAGGTTTAAACTCCATAGGATCTTCCCACACATTTGGATCCCACCCAAATTCAGCAACAAGAAAATTCACAATGGCATTTTTGGGTATATCATGCCCATCCATAACAGTGTCTTGTGTAACTGCCCTAGGCAATATAAAATGCCCTGGTGGGTGTCTCCTTAATGTCTCCAGCACCACAGCCTTCAAATAGGGCATCCTTTTCAAATGCTCCCCCTCAATGTCCTCATCAGGTTTCACAACCTCCTTAATTTCATCAAACAACTTCTCTTGTATGTGTTGGTTCTTCACTAAATTCGCCATGGTCCATATCCACGTGGTAACTGTTGTATCAGTGCCACCTATCATAAACTCAGCACACATACTCACCAATTCTTCATCCCTCAACTTGCTTCCATTGCTTGGGAGTTGCATATCAAAAAGGGTATCCACATAAGGCTTAAACTCTTCTCCATTCTCATCTTCAACGCCATCCCTGACCTTTATTTTCTCTTGGCGTGCTTTTATGATAGGGAGGAACACATTCACCTGATCCTCACGAATTTTCAAGAGCTCTCTCCATAATCCTCTAAACACAATCTTAGACAAGAGAGGTACAAAATTCAGCACATTGAATTTAATGAAATTGTGCAGAAAACCATGTTGTACCCTTTGGATATTCTTAACTGTTCTCTCATCAAATTTCTCTCCAAAACAAATGTACGAAAATAAAGCATACAATGTATAGTTGAAATATTCATTCATTGGTATGGCCTTATTGCCAGACTCAATTTCATCTAGAATATATTTCTTTAATATACTCAATGCCCACTTACGACAATGAGAGTATAGTTTTAATTGAGAAGGTTGAATTGCTTGCATTAAATTCTGGCGCATCATTCGCCAATTGTGGCCAAATGGAGAAGTAGTAACAGTGTATTGGTTAGGGAAGAAAACTTGGGTGGTTTGAAGAGCCAAAGGTCGACCAGCAAAAACTGTGCCATTTTTAACAAGTGCTCTATGAGCAGCTTCTTGACATGTTATGAAAATGGAAGGGGTAGACCCTATGTGAAGAGTGACTATGTTACCATATTTAGAACGTAAGGAGCGAAGAACAGGTTCAAGATCAGCAAAATTTTTGGAGGACTTAAGGAGCCAAAATATGTTACCTAAAATGGGTATGGTAGGAGGGCTTGGTGGTAGCCTCTTGCTGTGGATGATTTTCAGAAAAGCTTGAAGGCATATAAAAGTGGAAACACATGCAAGAAGACAGAACCAAAATCCCATTTTTTTTTTCTCTGTTTCTTTACTCTATTTTCTCTCTTAATAAAGTTATGCACATTTTGAGAATTTATATATTGCAAGTTATGTTTATGAGAAGTTCATCCTTATATAATATTTATCACCGTTATAATGTTTATGTGACGCGTCATAATTAATGTTTAGTAGTTTCTAATAATTTTAATAGAACTTATGCTTATTAAAGTTATGACACCTTTTTTTAGTAAGTTATTTAGAAGAAATTAAAACTTAGTTTCGAATTGTAACTGTCATAATTACTTGTACATGAAGTTTTGAATTCTGAAAAACATTTGATAATTAAGATTTAAATGTCAAAAATATATCATAATTAAGGAAGAAAAAAAATGCATCTACATAGTGAGAAAATATTAAGACAGTAATTGACAAAATAATTTATTGTTAATTAGTCATGGTTTAATATATCATATTAATTACAATATGCTTTCAAAATCTGAAATATTTGTAGAGATATTATAAATGAAAAGTTGCAGTTCTTTTAATTATAAAAGTCTCCTTGTAAAAAATAATTTTCTGTTATTAATTCAAATTTTTTTATCCTAATTATATGTTATTGAAATTAATAGCCATAAAAGTATATCTTTTGCATATTAATTGTATATCATAAATATCTCCCATTAATTTTTGAAAAAAACATATTTCTATATAACTGATAATCAAGTTTCAACGTAAATTATCTCCAAATTTTTGGGCAAAAGTGTGAATTTTAAAAAAAATATTAAAATACATAATTTTAGAAAACATTACCTATTTAAGTAAGTTATATTATGAAATAAGTAAATAGAAGTTATATTTTTTTTAATAGGACTTATATTTTTAAATAATATAAGAAAGTATGACTTTAGCAATAAAATATATATTATAAATATGATTTCGATTTTTATTATTACTATTATTAATTTTATTAAATATAATAATATTATAATAATAACTAGTAGACGCTATTACGTCTTTATGTCCAAACATTTTTTTTAAAAAGATTATAAATGTTTACCAAAATATTATTAAAACAATTATAAAAAATTTTACCAAAATATTTTAAAAAATAGATTTAAAAATAATAATTTAGACATTGTAATTATTTTTTATTATTGTATTTTATTTTAATGATTTAAAAAATATATATATATATATATATAATGAAATATATTTTTATTATTTTTTATTTTACGTAATTTTATTTATTATATGAAAACAGTTTAATTAAAACATAATAAAAATGTTACATTAAAATAAATAAAAAAATTTAATAAACCAAAATAATATATTTAAAAGCTATAACTTATAAAAAAAATAAATCATTAATCATGGTTTCTTTACAATATTATTTTCTTTTATTAACCAAACAAAAACTCAAGTGGAGAAAATTTTATATTAATGTATTTAAATTATAACAAATACGATTCAATAAACAATTTTCCTATAATGAAAAATTATAAATATATTAAAATATAAAAGAAAAATATTTTTAATTAATAATTTTTAAAATTTTCATATTTAAAAACTGATAACAATAATCTTTAGTTATTATTTTTTATTCTTAACCATTGATTTTAGGTTAATAATGATACATAATGTTTAGCTATTTTTAATTTTTTTACATATAAATTTTAAAAAAATTGGAATGATTTTAAAATATAACTTTCTTTTATTAATTTCATCTTAATAAATGCAGAAATTAATCCATTTAAAAAGTGGTTTTAGAATATTAGTTTAACTCATATATTTAAAACAAATCAAAATTTGTAATATACAATCAGAATAAAACACTTAAATATATTTAAAAAGTTATAGGGGACAAAAATTATAAACTAATTTTATCAAAGGTTTTTTTTGTAAAGAAAACCTAAATTTATCAAACGGTTTTTTTAATACGTAACCACGAATTATACATTCGGTATTATTAAATAGAAAACAGTTTCAATTAATAAATTTGACATTGGCAGTTATGTTATATTCATATATATATATATATATATATATATATATATATATATATATATATATATATATATATATATATATATATATAATCTTTAGCTTTTTATTTGTTAATTTTTTAATTATTAATAAACATGTATAAATTTAATATTTTTTAATAATTTTTTATACATCACATTTTTTAATGAAAATCTTAAAATAAAATATAACTTTATTATTTATTTTTAAAAAATATAGAAATTGGATCCTTTCAAAATTGAATTTAGAATATTAATATGTTTTTAACTGAAAATTTGTAAAAAACATCAAAATGGTTTAAAAGGTTATATACTGTTAAATAATAAATTTAAATATTAAAAAACAAAAGATATTTTTAAAATAATTGATTAATATAATTTTAGGTATTTCATGGAGTTTTTATATATTTTTCATTTCAAAATAACAGTTTTAATAGTTGTTTTTAAGTATGTGTTTTTATGTTAATTCATACATTATAAAAAATTCCAGAAATAAACAGTTTTGAAATTAGTTTTAGAATATTAGTTTAACTGGTAATTTGTAAAAATTTTACTCCATAATAAAAGCAAAATTGTTAAACATATTTTAAATTTAAATTAATAATTAATTTAATTAGAAATAAAAATAGAATGCATTAATAATATTATAAAAGTTTTCATATTTTGTATATCATTATTTAAAAAAAAACAATTTAATTTAAGTTAATTTATTTTTTTCTCCTACTTTTAGATGTATTAACATTTTTTCATTTATTTTCATTAATATATGATTTTTTATTTCTCTTTAATCATAATGTTATAAAAAAATATTTATATATAAAAGCGTTATTTATAAATATTAGATTTTTTTCTTTTATTTTTATTTTTAAATATAAAATGATAAATAAAAATAATAAAAAATCTCAATTATATTATTTGATTTTTATCTTTTTAAATTTTTATCATTTTTTTTTATTAAGGAGTGCTTATTTTTTTAAGATACATATTATTTATATTTTTATAATTCATGAATTATTTTCGGTACTGAGCCCATGTGCCAAAACAACTTCGAAAGGGAAATTATATCGTAATTATTTATAAGATGATAGTTGACAAGTGAGGATATGTAACTGAATTCTCAAATCAAAGCCTTTTCTATGTTTTTTTATATTAAAAAATATTTAATTTATATATATATATATATATATATATTCATATAATATAATTATATATAACACTATAAACATAATTATTTATTAATAAAAAAATACTGAGAATACTATTATTAAATCAAAATATTAATTTAATAATTTATGTAATCTATATTTAATAATATGTATATATTAATAATTACGACTTGTTATATATAATAAATAAGTAAATATTTAATATAAATGATAAAAAGACAAATGAATTACAATTTAATTTTGAATGAGATAAACTAGATACACATAATAAAAAGAGGAGATACACGTACACCCCATAACCATGATTATAAATAAATTAATTAATAAATATTTTATTTATTTATTTTATCTTAATTCTTATATATGTTGTATCAAAGTTTTATTAATATTATTTATATATTGTTTTTCTTCTCATCTTTCTTATTTTTTATTTTGTACTTTCTCTTTTACTCTCCCTCCTCTCTTTTTTTTTTTCATCCTCCAATTTATATCCTTAAATTTGATTTAACTTTTATTTTTACATTTAATATTAAATATCTATAAAATTTATTATTAATGGTTTAAAAATCATGCATATCTTATCTTTTTAAGATAAGCAAGCATATTTTATAATAACTAAATATTTTATCTTTTTAATAACTAAGTAACGGTCAGCAATATAAAATCACTTGCTGAAGCTCTCAAATATGTGAGGACGAAGATAAAATTTGAGAGGATAAAAATTAATAAAATATAATTTGATATTAATTAAAATCATTACAAAATTAAATTAAATAAGAAAGTAACTGAAATATAATAACTGATTTTCTATGAAAAAAATTTAGTTACTGTATCAACTATTTAATGACTGGATTTTTCAATCACTCATTATTATTTTGTAGTGGTGATTTTTTAATTATATATATATATATATATATATATATATATATTCTAAATAATATTATTTTTAATAAATGAACGAATATTTTATTATAAAAATATTTAAATTATTTAAAAATATTAGAATTTAATATATTATATTTGAAAAAGTTATATAATAAATTTTTTAGATGTTAGATGATGAATATTTAAATATATTTTTTTAATTTCAAATATAAAAGAATAAAGTAACAAAATAAGTATTTAGTTGATTTTTTTGACAAAAAGAAATAAAAAAGATTGTAAAATAAAAATATACTATATAATGTACTATATAATACTTATAAATTGATAAATTGTAGTTATAAATTTATTAAAACACATTCAATCTGTAATGTACTATATAATTCTTTCTAAAAAAATTATTTCTAAAAATAATGTAAATTAACAAATCACACTTACAAATCTATATTTATTTACAATCATTGAACATGTTGGGAAAACGGGTTACTTAGAAAGGTAAAATATTCCTATTTTGATAAGGAAAATGAATTAACAGAAAAGAAAAATTGATGTGACATAATGAATCTTATGTGGTAAAAAAACATATAATCGTCCAAGAGGGACCCACTTGCGTCTCTGCCATTCGTCTTCGTATTTTTGTGTTCGTCAATTTCATTCTAGTTTTCGCCCACTGCACACAGAAAAAGAAAAGAGAGAGGAGACAGAGGAAGATGACGCGGGGAAAGCAGAAGATCGAAGCACAGAAGCGGAACGCAGAGAAGAATCAGAAGGCGAAGGGCTCTCAGATCGAGGCCAGAGCCGTTGGCCTCAAAGTTATCTGCCCCATCTGCAAGGTTTCCACTTTTCACATTTTTTTCTTCCTTCCATTCATTCTTCTTCTTGTTATTTTCTCTGGGTCACAAATAAAAAAAAAAAATTATTGTTAAGTACCTTTGAAACTACCCTCTGATCACCTGGTGTTGTTTTTGTGGTGGTTGTGGTAATTGGGTTTGGGTTCTGTCGTGGAATGAGCCGATCTGGGTCGTCCTTATTACTTTTTATTCTTTTAATCTTTGTGTTTTCCATTTAGAAATTAGTCATTGCATGACTGATGGCTGCTTCAGTGTTGGATTGATTTAATCAGCTCTGAAAAGGATGGTCTTGTTGATGCAAGGGTTGCTAGGATAATTAATTTGGCTTCGAATTGTTCAATTATTATGAGCTAGTTGTGTCAATTATATAACAGATGATGTTTTGTTACACTTTGTGCCTAGTTGGTTCTTTGTCAGGTTACAAAATGGTCGTTTGTTTTTAGCAAAAAGGTTCAATAATGTGTGATGGAAGGCACGTTAATGCTACTGCGGTTGTTGCGCGCATGGATTCGTGGGGATGTCAGAACAACTTATGCAGTTGAGCAGTATCTTATTTAGAGGCTCGTGTTAGTCTTTACTTGTTGTGATTTATGATAATCTCGCGTGTCTTTATTTGATGGTGGTTGAAACATTGCATATGCCAAAATTTATAATATGATTGCTTTTTGCAATGGATATTGACATAATGTTGGGCTCCAGGGGCGTGGTCCCAACACAAAGTTAGGTGCATGTTACATTTGCATTTTGATTAGATTAATTGTGGATGAGTAAATGTAATATTTTACATTTTAAAGCACTGAAGTTGTAGTTGCTACGATCTAGTCTACCTTTTTTAACTTTGGGTGACAAACAGATATCCAGAGCATAGCATTAGTGTTGAGATTTGGCACATAAGAAAAGGTTTTTGGGAAATGGTGCTACTTTTTCAGTGATATGTTGATAAACGAGTTTGAGATGGGTTTTGAGTTCTTTAGCAAACTATTTTGTGGCTTGGCTTCCTAAGTTAAGAGACAGCTTTATCTATAGCTTTTGCTGGTATTCTTGTGCATTTTTTTTTAGTTTTTTATGAGGACTTGTTAGTCTGCTTTCTTTGCACTGATTGCTCTATTCTTTCAAACTTAGTCACCTTCTTAGGGAGAAAAATAGATCCTGTAACGTAAATAAAACTTATCACTAGCAAATATTATAGAAGTCATGCATGAACTGTAGCCTACAAAAAGTCAAAAACTTTGTTGAATAAAGAATTTTGAGGGAAGATCATAGTTTTTCATACATTTTTCAAAACTTAACTGCTGAAGCATCTCCCTTGAAGAAGAAAATTATAAGATCTCTGCATAATATTTATATTATTATTAATAAAGTGCTTGGTCATGTTTATGTGAAAGAACTTTGAATATCTCTAGAAATGCCCAGTTTATGGAACTTACTTTAAACAGAATAGAGGCCAAGTCTTTAAGGTATGTACTTGACCTAAGAGAGGATATCTAGGTAGAACCAAAATTTTTGTGAATAAGTTGTTGAGATGTACACGTCTTTAGTGAATAAGATAGTTCTTTAGCAACAACCCCTGACTATGTTTGACCTTGCTAATTAGTAAGAAACTAAGAATTATGTGGGTTGAAAGAACTTTCAGGGAAGGATTAACAACTAGCTAATCTCAATTTGTATTATTTCCTTTAATATGAAGACAAAATATTAAAGCGAAGACTTCCACATTAGTTGTTCAAATAACTAATTTGGGGGCAATATATGGTGTTAAGTCTTGTGACATAAGCACAGATGCCACTTGTAATACGCATTTAATCTAAATGGACACATATTTTTGCACCTGGATTGAGATTAAATCTTATTAAATGTGTTTACTTATGGTCATCGATCCATAAACTTTACTACAACTTGTCCATCCATGAAAATGAACCACTCAAGAGAATCAAGCACATGGAGTTGGAACAATAACTTTCCTTCTTATGATGAAATATCCAATACATTTCCTGTACTTTGAGTTTCAGAGATATCTTTGTTAATATCATAATTTCTTCAGTTTAACTAATAGACTATAGCTCTAATCATGTACATCTGGAGTTGAGGGTGACAAGGATACTATTGTTAAATTGGTTAATGGGTGCATTCAATTTCAACACTTTGAATTTTTTTCTTGTGTAGTCTCGTTGTGTATCTGTATTCTGAAGATCTTTGGTATTCTTAAATATTTTGTATCATGTTTCTTCATACCATTGAACATTATTTTTCAGGTCCAACTTGCAAATCAAAACCAACTTGTTGATCACTATGGCTCCAAACATCCGAAGGAGAAACCCCCTGCAGAGTCAAGCTAGAGATAAAATGAGGGAAATGGTACGAAAGGTCCAAAAGAAAACATACCCTCTAGATGTACCTTCATACTTTTAATGTAATCCCCTGTTTCCGAGGCAGGTTGCAACATGTTTTAATTTAATCATGTTACTGTGCATTATTGTGAGATCACCAAGGATGATAAAAACTTCATCTATAATTATAACAATATTATTATGTTGCACCAGTGTTCACTAACTTGGGGTGTTCATAGTGTTTGATGCCAAGATAGAACGGATGGAGCTATAAAAATTTCTACATTTTAAACTTTATGTTCCATTTTGCTACTTGTGTTTGTAAATTCTACCAATCCAAAATAAATCACTGATGTTAAACAAAAAAAAACTGATTAAATGGATTTGAATTTTTTAATTTAGTTTAAATTTAGGTTTAAGTTAAATTATATATATATATATATATATATATATATATATATATATATATATATTCATTTTATAATTTAATTTATATAGATTTGAGTTAACTCAATCTAAGCTAATATGATTCGAACAAAGTTGGTCCAATTTTATTTAATTTGATCAGACTCGACTTAAGTCAATTTAACCTAACTTGACATAATTTAATTCAACCTAAGTTAATCCCACCATATCTATGTTAGTTTAATCTGATTTACGTCAATCTAATCCGATTTAAGTTGGTAAGACTAAACCTTCAAATCCAAACTTAATAAAGTTCAACATGATATAAGTCAACCTAACCTTAACCTAATTCAGTTTGACCTAAACAAAGTCGATCCAACTCAACCTATGTTGATTTAGACCTACCTAAGTTGATTCAACTCAATTTGGGTTAATATACTTTGATCTAACTAAGTTTGGCCCAATTTTATAGATGTTAATCCAATTCAACCTAAGTTGAAGCAAACCAACTACACCTAAGTCGACTAGACTCAACTTAAGTTTACTCGACCTAACTTAATTTGATCTGATTTTGTCTAGATTGATCTAACACGATCGATATACCTAACACGATCGATATGACCTAACCTGATGTTGCTCATTTTGATATGACTTAACTTGACTCAACCTGACTAAATCTAACCTAACTAGTCTGACGTAACCCAACTAAAAATGACTCAATTTAGTTCAATTTAATCTAGCTTGGTCCAATGTAATATGATTTTATTTGAACAAACTTGATATGATTTGATTCAACCAAACTTGATATAACTCAATCTTATCTAACCAATCCATTAAACTAACCCAATCAAATTGACCCAACCTAATCTTGGTTTTGAATTTTAAAATCCAAAAAAATAAATAATCCAATTTGTATCCCATCCAAATGCATTTAATTTGATTGAATTTAAGATCAAATTATTAAAATAAGCTCAAAGTGCATTCAATTTGGATAATTATAAATTGAATTTGAATATTTAGATTTTTTTTACACCCCTAATATAAGATTATTATCAAAACCATCTTCATTAACTTTAGACCATTAATGATAAAATATAATCCAATTTATTTTGTGTCAGATATCTAAGATAGGAAGTGAAGTAAAGGAAAAGAGATGACAAAATTTTAATTTTAAATAAAAGATTATATAATTTTCATAAAAATAAATAAAAATTGAGTTAATTGATTATTTTTTAATCCATCAAATAAGAGGACATTTATTAAAAGTGAAATTGCCGCCCTTTTCATTCCCTTTAAAATTCAAATTCCTGAGCATACCCTAAAATTTAGCTTAAAAGACACAATAATAGTCCAAGAGGTCATTTACTTGGTGAGGGGGAAGAACGGAAGGGTATGAAGAATGAAAGAAAAAGCATCCGTTGATAGAGGACACGTTGAAAAAGCATATAAGTTTTCAAGTGGATTACATAAGAAAACACAATTCAACATTCATACGTGGTTCTATTTTCTTGTAGAAGTGTAAATTTTGATATAGGTTTGACGGAGTTGTGTGTTTTGAATGAGTTGTTTTTAAGAATCTTGGCCAGTTACTGATAATGACATCATTTACAACAATCAACCTCACCTAGTTTTTTGTTAAAAAATGGCCACCTAAAACCCTTAGCAGAAGAAACTACGTGCAGCACCATATCTGTGAAGTAGTGTCCATGAGCAAAATAATAACAGGGATAATATTCCTTACCCACCTTCTCCGTATAGATGATCTATTTCCTACCATAACCCTACCAAATAACCATCAATAAAATTGAACATAATGATTTCGAGTTCATTCTCTTCCCTTCCCCAATTTTTTATAAAAACAACTATAAATCACACATGCTATACATTAAATAGATTTTATCTAAGTTGCTCTAGGTAAAACTAACATAACTTCATAATTCTCTATAAATTAACGGCACTAATAAATAATCTATCTCAGTATTTTTCATCACAATAAACAAACTGATCATCTTCCATCACCTTTAATTTACAAATACCCTTAAATAAATAAACAAATATCAACAGAATCAGCACTCAACCGACTGATACCCATATCTGACCTGATACCTTCAACTCTTTTTACAGCACACTGCAGGACAAAAAGCAATGATGAACAATACAAATCTAGACGAACGTTAGGTGCAAAGTTACCCAACACCAAAACTTAGGAGGTATTGTTAAACATTAAAAGCTAAGAACTATGTCTTTTCACGATCATCATGTTAAAATTTCATCTCAATCACATCGGGATAGTTTCATAATAAAAACAATAAAATTTATCAGCAATTAAACAAACTTGTCATCCCTATTATAAATGTATGTATATGCATGTACATATATGATAAAAATTACTCAGCCAGCTTAAAACCCATACCTGTTTTTAGTTACATGTCCCAGAACGTAATGCCAAACAGAAGTATCCCTATATAGTTCACATAAAAACTTTCTGTATCAATTTTCAAGAGAAAATGTTCATATACCCCTATAAATACTCCTTTCATCAACCAGATTCTCCTTCCTAAAATTCTCTGTAATCAAAAGCTACTGTGAAATTTGGTCCATTCTGTGTTATACTTAGAATCATATAATAAATGGAAACAACAAAGTAATCAGCCCAAGCCATTTGCTTCAGTTAGTTAGATTCATTAATGAGTTTGTTCAAAAGGGTTGTCAACAGAGCATCCCTGCTTTTTGCCCTACTCTCTTCTCTCATTCTCCTCTGTTCTTCCCTCTCCCTCCATTCCTGATCAATAATTAATCTCTCCCGCTCAAGCTTCTCCATGGACTGCCTCCATTCCTGTTCAAACAACTGTCTTTCATGAGCACGCTTCTCCATCATCTCCCTCCACTGCATTTCCATCCTTAACTGGTGCTGGAAAAAATCCTTTAGCAGTTCCTGAATACTACTAGTACTATTACTGGCAGCATTTGATGGATTATTAGCCCTTGAAGAAGACTTATCCATTCCAACTTTCCTTTTGCGGGTGTTGCTTCTAGGAGGTTTCTCCTCATCGCTGTCATATTCAACCTCATCATCGTCCTCTGAGGGTTCCTCTGAGGACCTGTCTTCACTTAATCTTTTCACTCCTTTCTTGGGTTGAGCTGAGCGATTTTCAGATTCAAGAAGTAATCGTTGCATATTATGTGCCCTCTGGGTAAAGACTGCATGCAATTCTTCAAAAAATGGACATTGCCTGCTATGCTCTGGGTCAGATGTCTCTTTTCCCTGCAAAATATTGCCCCATAACTTACTAAGTCAAGTGAACACTTCCATCTTTAAGATATGTATTTTTAACATTTTTCAAAAAAAAAAAGAAAAAAAATTACACCATTGTAAATCAATTGAAAGGTGCTCATCTATACATATAAAATCCCTATAAGTGTTTTTTTCCACATGACCATAGTTAGAGAGGGGTTCTTAAAATTTGGCCTATAGCGTGTTTGGATACAATTGTATTCACTGGCTCACATTCCAAACAGAGAAGCAATCAACTGTAGCTTTGAGATGAACGCGGTTTTAGGACCTATTCATCGGAAAAACAAACATGGTGCTAAACTCTAGCAAGCACATTGCACACCCTATAACCAAATACATCATATATATTAAATGATCAAGAGCAGTTATGACCATTGCAAAACCGTAAACTAGCAAAGGCTCAACTCTTAACATATACCCTGCATCAAACACGGTTCTTCCTTCCCTATTCAAGCCATTGGATATGGGCCATTCAGTTGAATCTAACCCACAAACCCAACATATTCCCTCACGACCGTTTGAGCATATGAACAAAACTTCATTTAGATGAAGTTAAAAAATCCAATGGAGCATACTTTGTTGTCACAAACATCATAGAGTTATTATCATAAACATATATTTACTTTTTCTTCGACTTCCTTCTTCATGTCTACCGCATCTTTTCCTATCACATCTATCAGACACTTTGTATGTCTCTCTCTCTCTCCCTTCAACCTAAATACACTCCAAAATGATGTGTAAGTTAGAAAATTTCCAACATCCTATCACATTTTATCGTGTCTGAAATAATTCAAAATGAATGTCAAATAAAAAAGGTGGATATATTCATTACTCCAGTTGACAGCAAAAGAATCAAAATGAACATCAACAAAAAAGATTCAACGAGATAACAAAAATGCCAAACTCTGCACCAAATTCATGAACAATGAAAACGTCAAAATTAACCAAACGTAATGAGCAACAGACACAAAATCAATAAGAAATAGAAAGTGAAAAAGACCTTATAGCGATTAACGAGGTTCTTCCACTTGCATTTGCACTGTTCAGGGCTTCTCCTGAACCCTCTCTCCCTCATCTTCGAACTCACCACTTCCCAAAGCGTCTTGTTTCGCTTCGACGCAGTGAAGTCCCTCTCCAGCTCCGCGCGTATCGCTATGAACTCCCGCGTTTCCTGCTGGCTCCACTGAGGCTGCGGCGGTCCCCTCTCCTCCCTCACAGCGACCGACACCTCGCCGGACATCGCCGGCGGTGTCGCCTGGTTCAGCAGCGACGGCGACACCATGCCAAGCCGCGCTGCCAGCGCATCGTCCCCTCCGCCACCGAACATTGACCTCTTCGCCACCGCGACGTCGTTTCAACGTGAATTCGTGATTAGGGTTTTGGAAATGCTGAAACGCAAAACGGAAGTGCTGCACTGAAGCTGGTGGAAGCCTCGGAAAAAATATCCTTTTTGTTTTTCGTTCTTTTTTCAATTACTTTTCGGTTTCCAAGTTTGCTTTGTGGACAAGACAGGAATCGTTGACTATCGCTACCTACGTGTGAAAATCTGCCTCCTCAAAACGGTAACCTCTTTTCGCGGTTTTACGCTTTTGCCCCTTCATTTAATGTATGCCGTTTCCCGTTCTCCGTTGTCGGTGTAATAGTTACGCACTGAACTTTGAATAAACCCAATTAAAAACAATACTTAAAAACAAAGTTTATCTTCTTAATTTATTGCTTTATATATTTACGATTTTTTTTATTTATTTAAAATATAAAAATATTCTCTCTCAATGTTACTATCTGCACTTATAGATAGTATTCTCGTGTTCGAAGAGGTTGAAAATTTGGAAGAGATGATGTAATGTTTGAAACACAGTTTTCCCCAATGACACAACAAAATGTGGTATGACCGGCTACTCTTGATTTTCTTTGTTACTAGAATGTCCTGAATTTTCAAATAGGGAGAAGATTAGGGTATTAAAATTTCAAACCTGAGGGGTATTTTGAATGTACTTTAATAAATATTTCATGTACCTGTTCAATAACAATCATTAAATGGGAATTTACATCATAAATAATAATTTTTTAAATTATTTTTATAAACTTTTTATAGAATTAGTTCAATTTGTCCTTGAGATCCAATTCACATTATGGACCTCCTTCTGACCCAAAATGCAAGATCCATTATAGTTCGGCATTCTGTCACGAAAACTAAATATTTCTTTTCCTTTTATCTAAAAATACTAACATTGTTTTAGTTTAAATTCATTTTCATTTCTGCATGTAAGCATTTATTATTTGTTATTATAGTCACTTTAGTAGATTCTTAGTTGTGTCATTGATTTGAGTAGATGGGGTTATAAATATTTATTCTTTATTTTATAATCTTTCTCAACCATGTTGGAAAAATTATAACTATCTTATAATTTTAATTATTTTTCATAAAAATATTTTACTGAATACCATTTTAAGTTTAATAGACGCTAATTTCACTATATTAAAAATATAATTGAGCGATCAGTTCAACCAGTTTAGTCGAGTGTTATTTTTAAATATTTTAATTTTAATTAAATCAATTTTAAATATTTTAATTTTAATTAAATCGGAATAAAATCATAAAATTTGAGAAAATCAAATAATCAATTAAATTTTAATATATTTTTAATAAAAAATATAATATATTTTTATTTTATTTTTATTTTTATTTTTATTTCAAATTTAAATAATAAATTTTTTATCACATTCTCATCTTATTTTAATAATTAATCATCTTATATTTTTTTATATATTTTATATTTGTAATATTTATTATAATCTACACTAAGATAATAATATATTTTTTTCTTTTATAAAAAAAATAATAATGATTTTATTATATATTTATTATATTATAAAAAATATTCTTTTATTAAATTTAGTTAAATCTTTAAACTTTAAATTCATGTTTGACTTGAAAAATATTGACTAATTATTTTTATTAAATACATCATCTTAAAAAATTAAATTAATCTCAAAATTAATTTGGTAGATGAAATTGATAACCACTCATAAGTATATAATAAGTATTTCAAACAAATTTTTAAAATTGGTACATAAATATGACGAGAGTAGTCAATTTTAATAGATTTAGGATACTCTCTAATATTTAGTAAAGAAACAACTAAAAATGTATTGGTCCGTTATTCTAGTTCCTCGAACTAATCATCTTTTTAATTGTCAAGATTCCTTACAGAATTCGTGACAAAATAGGAAATCATGCAGGTAAAATCATCTTTTTACGTTAATCTTATTGATACTCTAGTGAATATTTTTAAATTCGGAAATGTCAATTGATTAAAGTTTAAAGGTTTTATTATAATTTAATTAAATTTAAACAAATAATATTTTTATAATATAAAAATATATAATAAATTCATTAATAATTATTATTTTTATATAATAATAATAATAATAAATTATTATTATTATGATTACATTAAATTATAATGAATATTATAAATATAAAATATATTAAATTTTTATAATATAATAAATATATAACAAATTTATTAATATCAATATTTATTTAAAACAATTATTATGACTATAAATTATAATAAAGATTATAAATATAAAATATATTAAAATCGTAAAATAAATAATTATTAAAATAAAATAAGAATACAATAAATTAATTATTATTTAAAATTGTTGTAATTAATATAAGATAAAAAAAACTAAAATATATTATGTCTTTTGTAACGACCTATAAATCGTTACTTTAATGATGTCTTTGCAAAATAGTAACCAAATAATTAATGACATCTATCTTACATTATTTTATTGTAATTGTAACATATATTGAAATTTCGGTTCACTAACTGAATCTAAAAATATAGTAACATAATTTATTTATATATTATACATGTAAAAGTAGCTCTCTCGAAGCTATCTCATCTGAACTATCCCTACTGTCTCAGTAGTCACATCTCCATTTCTCAACTCCCGATCTGCTCCCACGTAAAAGTGATCATCGCAGTCTCATCCACATGGAAAAATAGGGGTAAGTATTAAATCATTCGATATAATAAAACAGATATAAAAGTAATAATTATATATTATGATCAATTACGAAATCATCAACATACTAAGACACCTTCCGGAAGTATACCCTAACTATGCCCGAATTCAGAGACTATCATCTGTGGGCACATTGTGATCGGCACCCGCAGTACCATTCTGACCACCCTCCACATAGAGTAGGATTACTGGCGTCATTCATCACTCATACTGGAGTACCCTTCCAAGTGCGTCACCACTTATCCCCCCATCGACTTCTCACCACCTGATCTCGTAGTCTACCTGACCCGATCAATCAGTGAAGTCTGGTACCTCATTCAGAATCCTCCGACATAGTTATTACACTAAAGTACTCTGTATCACCCCGAGTAGCATTCAAACACAACAAAAATCATTCACATTTGCCGAATTCTGGACCACCTGTCCTCACGGCTCATTCAAGTTAATAAATAATAGTACTTGACTGATTCTGGGCACCAACCCTCCGGCTTAGTCTAGCCAATACATAACATCTCATGATCGATTATGAACATCGACCCTTAGACTCAGTCCGACTCACACACGTTACAACACATTACAAAATCTTTAGAACTTCTACATTCATTCTATATTTTAAATATATATATATATATATATATATATATATATTATTATTCTTCTTTTTTTCGAAATCATTTCAGAAACCTTTTTCGAAATCATTAAATTACTATTTTGCCCTTAATCTTTTCTGAAAATTCCATGTATGTCCCTAAATGACTATTTTACCCTTAGATATTTTCAAAAATTCCTTCCATGTCCCAAAAATGACTATTTTACCCTTAGACATTTTCGAAAATTCCATTTATGTCCCTAGGATGTAAAATGACTATTTTACCCTTGAACATTTTCAAAATTTTCATTTATGTCCCTAGGATGTAAAATGACCATTTTACCCTTGATCTTTTTAAAAAATTCTCACCATATCCCTTTCTTCTTCCTTCGCCCAGTTATAGTATCAGATTTTTGTAGATTTCAAATTACTCAGTTTAGACAACCAAATTAGTCCCAAATTCAAATTAAACATGAATTATATCTAATTTAAGTTGAAAACAACAATTTTACCATATAATTCATCCTTAATTTTAAGAATTTAAAAAACTTTCAAATCATGAACAGTGCATCCAAAATCAGAAATTCTTCTAAATCAGACATTTAAATAATTCATATCTCTACTCTTATTTTTTATTCACACGGTATTCACAGAGTACCCAACAATTCAATTTCATATATTGAATGAATTAAATTTTCCCTTACCTTGTATGATATTTCTACCGAAGCTTTCTCACTTAATTCAAACTCTCTCTTGTTTCACCAGATCCTGCAGGAGTAGAGTATCGTAGCTTGAAATTTAGACAAAAGAAGAAGAAGGATGAAAGGAAAATTTTGATTTTCCTCCTCCCCCGCTTCAGTATGCATATATAAGAAAAAATTTATTGTGCATGAGGAAAACTTTGTTACGAAGTTTTCTTGCATAATAATATTAAAATAAAAAGCATACGTCACAATCTCCCCTCCACAAAAAATTTCGTCCTCGAAAATGAACTTACTTGGAAATAGATATGGATAAGACTCTCGCATCTGATCCTCCATCTCCCAAGTGAAGTCTCCAGATTTCTGATCTCATATTACCTTCACCATTGAGATGGTTCTACCTTTAAGTAGCTTCAGTTGAGAATCCTCTATCCTCACTGGTCTCACATCAACGGAGAGATCGTCTCTAATCTGCACATCGTCTAACTCTAGGACATGACTGGGGTCATGCACATATTTCCTCAACTGAGATACATGAAATACATTGTGCAGATTCTCCAAATGAGGTGACAACGCTAACTGATATGCCACTGGACCTACCTTCTTCAAAATTTAATATGGGCCAATAAACTTGGGAGTCAACTTCTTAGATTTAATTGCCCTTACTACTCCAGTAGTAGGTCTGATTCTCAAAAATACATGGTCTCCCCCCTCGAATTCCAAAGGTCTCCTCCTTTGGTCCGCATATGATTTTTGTTTACTCATAGCAGCTCTCAGCTTCTCTTGTACCTTCCGGACCTTCTCTGTAGTCTGCTGGAGTAGCTCAGGTCCGATCAACACTTTCTCCTCATCCTGATACCAACATAAAGGTGTTTGACACCTCCTCCCATAAAGAGCCTCATATGGTGTCATTCCAATACTGGCATGATAGTTGTTATTATACGTGAACTCTATTAATGGAAGGATATCATCCCAACTTCCTAGATTATCCAACAC